TCTGGATACAGGTTTTTTTCGAGGAATTAAACTGCGCCTCTCAGCAGAGTTCTGCACTCTACGAGAGCTTTTCTAGAGCATTCATGAGACTTTCCTTCAGATATTTCTTCTTTTCACTGGTCTATAAAAAAAATATGAGGCTGAAACGTCCATAAATAAATAGTATAATAATAAATATCTGCAACTTGGGTGTCTGGTGTTAATGTTTTTACATGTTTGACGTGATTCATAAGTTGCTCCTCAAACCATCTCTGTCACTCCAGTTTTAAAAGTTTCAGCGCTGTTCTGAGTTATGTTCTGCTGTATTTAACCTGGGTCTTGTGAGTCACTCCGAAAGAAATATCATGTAGGATAAAGACTTGCACATTTCTTTCTAAACAATGACGTTGCACTTTGCATGGAATTTTAGCCGCACTGTAATCATGACATTCACTAAAAGATACCACAAGAGCAATTCTGTAAATATGCAAAGTATTTTTTTTAATATATTTAAGAATTATCTTGTGATCATCTGTTTAAGGTTGTCTTTCTATTTGCAGTCAGGTCCATAAAAACTCCCACAGTCTTTTCTGTATGAAGACTGCATTTCTTATGGCCCATGGAAGGAGAATGACTGAACTTCGGAGGTGAACGAGGCCCTTTGCTGTTTGCATCCTGATGACTCGATTGTTTCGGTGTGGTCTAAGCGTGTTTTGTTCCCATGGTGCCTTGCTCTTGATGCACCGCACACATGGGTCATCTGGGGATGGATTGACTAGAAAGAAAGTTACGATTAAGTCAGGGTCCCTCGGAATGCTGCAAGAAGGTTCTATAGGGACTGTGCTTCCGGTGTCACGGAGTTATCATAGACAAATATGAGTTACCAGAGGTCGTGGGTTATCAGCCTCTCACCCTAAACATGTGCAAGGCTCCAGGGTTCATACAACAGGAGTTACAGTCGAAACGTTTGTTTTCAGGTAATCATTTCGTTGTACTTGTAGTAGTCACTTGAGACTAAAGCGGACATTTTCATTTATTCAGGTGTGTTTGGGCCAGTGGTGGCTGAAGAGTGATTATTCTGGACCTGAATAATCACCTGCTTGAAAGAGGTGTGTTTCCCTTTGGTACCCCTGCAGAACCCCTGCACCAGCCCAGACCCTGATCCGTCTTAGACCAAAGCCACAAACAAAAGCACAAGCACAAACACTCATGATTATTGTGTGAATGTGCACTCGGGAATGCAGCCCGATTAGAGTCAGGAGAAAGAGAGTCTATCGCACCGGCCTGTTCACAATTCAATTATTCATGTGTTTGTTCTTTCCTAGAGTTTGGCTTCCAGGATTTCAAGTCACGTGCATCTAAAAGGAAGAGCTCTTTTCAAAATGTTATGATACTAGATGTGAAAGCTATCAAAATTCAAGATTTGAATACACATTCATTTACCAAACGTTTCCATGCAGATACATTATTTTCTGTTTACACATAATGAAAGAATGATTCCACTTTTTCTTTGTGAAATGCTCTTTCATTATCTTTTACATTCCAAGCTTTATTAAATATGTGGTCAATTTAAGATTCATACTATGTGTGTTAAGTTAACTCTGAATATTTGGTTATGGTGGTTCAAGTCCATCTAAGCAAATACAGGAGGAATGAGTTACATATGAAATGGACACAAGATCACAAAGCCAAAGTGAGTGACGTTGGATATTATACAAAAGTGCAATGACATAATGTTCAGAGCTATGTAAACTTCAAACTCAGCAAGAATGTTTGGGGAAAAACTGTTATTTACTACATCCAACGATTACATTTGGAACTTCTTTATTAATCTATCAATGTCACCTAAGCTCCACTTTCCATGCCAAATATCAGATCTCTAAAGAATCCACCCAAGTATTGCCATGTCTCAAGGCACATTTTTGTATAATTTTTGCATATGTGAAACAAGGTCAAGCTAAAATCTGGGGACACCTTTCCATTTTTTAAACAAGCAGTTTTATGCAATATTTTTGGTCAAATAATAATGAGACTATTTACTACTGGGGCGACAGTAGCTCAGTTGGTAGAGCAGTGGCCTTTGGGCCTGAAGGTCGTGGGTTTGAGCCCACCGTGAGACCTACTTCACGACTCCCACTTATGACTGCTGTCGTTGTGTCCTTGGGCAAGACACTTAACCCCACTTTGCCTAAAGCTCCCACTGAAAGATCTCAGCTCCTGTGGACTCACCACCTGCAGGAGGATCAGTGAGGGGCTGGTGCTCTGTGACTGGGTGCAGCTCTGACTGCCACCCCCCCCGACCCAGAAATGGATTAAGGGGAAGAAGATGGATGGACTATTTACTACTATTTATTATTGTTTCACTGGAAAACTAAATTGCGGACTCATCTTTTTTTTATATATATAAGGCAGACAAGTGATGTCACAGTGGTACAATAACTTCAAACTATCACAGGAGCTTTTAGACAGAAAGGGTAAGAAGGAGAATTCCTCACATTGATTGCTGAAGCAGGTGCGAATGAGAGGGGGGAAAAGCCCTGATGCGCATGTAGAAAATAATGGTTTCCACACGCCATGCAAAAAATATTTTTATTGGAAAATGTTACGTTTCGGTCCTGAGACCTTCATTGGGCAAATTGACAGAAAGGGTACAGTAGAATTACATATAGAAGTTCCCCATATTGGCGTGGATGGATTAAAAAATCAAAACAACTCCAGCTAACTTTATTTTTTATGATGAACAGTGTCGTAAGCTGTAAAATATTGCATAATAGGTCTACTATAGTATACACAAAAGGGAATAAATGGGATTGATTGAAACACATTAATGTCGTGGCACATGAAACACATCTCACTCCGGAAGCGTCCTTCCATTTCATTCACAGGATCATTCGCAGTAGGTTTGGCATATACAAATAGTTGTTCATTAACAATCGAGGCGAGCAATAACATCAGACTTTTGTCCAGTGGGATCTGTGTGTCCAGAAGTCATCACGGTGTAACATTAGCTGCATCATATTTACAGTGACCATGTGATGGAAGCAGAGTTCTGTGACTCTGCCTCATCACTAAAACATGAATGGAAAAGTTCACCTGGGCTCATGGAGCAGAGGACACCTGACACCCAGCCCAGTGTGAGAACCAGAGGAAAAGGCCACTGTCCGTCACATGACAACAGTGTGTGGAGTGTAATCTCCCAAAGTCTGGGTGGTCTCCTTTGAACCTGCTCACAGCTCCTGATCTGAGCTGACGCTGCAGAAACGTGAAGGATCAAACAGAGGGGATCAAGGAGCATGTCGGAAACTGCAGCTTCCAGAACTTGGTGGACATGTTATCAGAGTGGTATTTGTTTTAATTAGTTTTAACTATTTATTTGAATATGGGAGAGTAGATATTAATAAATGTGTCTGCTAACAGCGTCAACACAAATATGCTGGAATTAACACAATAAAAAAATTGCATTCATTGTTTGTCCTAAGGCAGGTAGAAAGATACAAACACACAATTAGGCAACAGTACAAACAATAACTCGACAAGCGCATCATAATTGAAAAGAGAAAAGAAAGAGAGTATATTTTGGGAGTTAAGGGTAATCTAGCACTAATAGTACTTAGAGTAATTCTTCTGTCTTCTTCCATGCTTTGCTTTCAAGGTACAACTGTTATTCCATTTATAGAGACAGTATACACCATATACTATCTTTACCTGAAGAAGATGGCATGTCTGGGATCGCGTCTTTCATTCAGACAGAAGACATGTTTTATTGTCGATGGTAGAGACAGCACGAACAACAGATACAATAGAATGCAAGTGTATTATACAGAGCGGAGGCATGGAGACCTCCAATCAGCAGCTGCCACGGTGCCATGTAGCTTGGCCTTCAGATAGACAAAACAAGGGAAAAGTACAGGCTTCTGCACATTGATAGAATGATGAGTTTAACTTGAACAAAAGTTGCTTCAAAGTGTTATGAAATCTCACATTCCCCCCTCTGGTCACACATTCACGTGTGACCATCAGGATCGATAAACAGCAACATAACATCATAACTCAATACTTCAAAAACTCAAACTCTGTACTTCACTCTGTACTTCAAAAAACTCAGAACTCGGAATACTTCAAAAACTCATAAAACATGTTCGGATCTTTCATAAAACTCGTCAACAATCTTCAGTAAAATACCAAACTTCATCAGTCGATGGTTCCAGATATTGCTTTGAAAACAGTCTCTCCCACTTCTCCGTGTTGGTTTTCGCACGTTTCAGCTTCAGTGTCCAAATTCAGAAATCCAATTCAGTCCAAATCATGTCCAAATTGTGTAATCCAATTTTTCCAAATCATGTCCATGCAAAAGAGGACGATGGTATTGTCCATGTCTCAGCAGCTCACAGCAGGCCTGCTTCCACCACCTGAAGACGATGACAAAGTCTGGGATCGCGCCTTTAATTCTGACAGAAGACATGTTTTATTGTCGATGGTAGAGACAGCACGAACAACAGATACAACAGAATGCAAGTGTATTATACAGAGCGGAGGCATGGAGACCTCCAATCAGCAGCTTCCACGGTGCCATGTAGCTTGGCCTTCAGATAGACAAAACAAGGGAAAAGTACTGGCTTCTGCACATTGATAGAATGATGAGTTTAACTTTAACAAAAGTTGCTTAAAAGTGTTATGAAATCTCACATAAACAAATCATAGCATTCATTTTTCATTTATGAAAATGACAAACTATGAATGTACCAGACAGTCCATCACTCCGGACCATGGATCTATTGCTCTGGATGTATTCATCAAGACGACTAAATTAAACTCTTAAGAATTAAAAAAATACAAAAAAATACAAGATTCTTTACAAGCTACATTCATCAACATTAAATATGAAATCAAACTAGCTTATTTGTTGGAAGAATGATAAGAAGAAATCATACTTGTATACGATGGAACAACCATATTTTAATCATCACACGCTTGCAGCTTGTTTTATTAATCCACGCATTCCTCTGAGGAGATCTGATAGAATGGAGGTCTGGATCCATGTGTCATTCAATCCAAGGTCATTCAGTCACATGTCTCTGCTTGGCTCTGGTTAGGTAAGACCAAGGAGACTAAGGAGATTTACACTCACAAATCTAAACGATATATTCTTAATGATACAACATACAACACGTTAAATAGCATCTACGAAAGGAATTTAGATTTTACCTAGGATTTCTTTAATCTGTCTTTTTCTGAATTGGTCTCATGTATTAAATGTAGTTTGATAACACAGCATGGTAATTTGTCCGTGAAGTCAGAATTTAAAAAGGGTGCCAAAATGAAAATGTAATAATACTAATAATCAAAATCAAAATCAAAAACTAGTTTGGTTTTAGAGCTTTTCTGCGCTACTTCTATACAACTTCTCTTCACAACTGTTTTGAGGCACTTCTGACCACCCCCAATCACACACACACACACACACACACACCAGATTTAAACTAGAAAATATTGGTGAAGTGTCTTTCCTATAGGACACAACACTATAAAAAATGTTTAAATACAATTACAAAACATCATTACCCTTTTACTGTACCTGAAAAAATACAATTTCGTCTCAGTTTGGACGCTTTGGTTCCCATCAAGGCGAGTCCTGTAGGTCAAGCACCAGGCCCATATGTTTGTATACAAAAGCACGTCACGGAGCTGTGCGTGAAAAGGCCTCTCCCCCATTCCACACATAACCACGCCCCTCCCAGCTCTCCCACTTTCTTCCGCTGGAGGCTGATGCAATTCTCATCTTTATAAGCGCTGGCACACCCCTCCTCCGGCAGAACCTTCGCTCCAAACTAAACGCGGCGCATCTCTGCACCCAAATATCGCATCTTGAATTAAAACAGTTATAATCTGAATGCGTCTGATTTGATCTTTACAAAACTCGGTTTGAATTGAGCGACATATGTTTATAATTATTTTTTTTCTTCAAATAAAGCCCACTATTTAACTTCAAGGATAAGACTCATTTAATCATCTGTTTGGAAGACCTTTATTGCCTGGACTACTTATTTTGGTGAAAGGATTCGTCTTTTCCACAAGGTAAGAACCAGACACGTTGGCTCCCCGTCTGTCACCAGTTACCGGCAGAGGCGGCACATTCCATTCTCTGCTATTTGGCTTTTTCGCATAAATGAAAGTTACTACAGTTTCTTCCACACACATATGTCAATGCATTGTTCTTTTTGTCTTTTATATTTGGCTTATGCATACTAGTGAAAGCTGCGCCCATTCAACCGCGTCGTGTGCGTAAAAGGAGATAGGATTAAGGCGTGTAACAATTAGGCATTTACGACCTCGTGCCTGCATAGTTGGAATTCTGCATGACTCTTCACTGAAACACACCGACTTGGCTTATGCTGATATCAAAGGGAAACATCTTACAAGTATAACAAGAACCTATTGTCATTATGTCATCCGTGTTTTATGTTTAAAACTATATGGCTTTAATGTGAGTCGTCTGCATTGTTTCTTCTGGCACCCTTCAAAATGACAGCAGCAAACATGGGAAACTGCTTTAAATCTATAAAATGTGTTGCTTATTACATCTCTTTGTTGATAAATGTGTTCATGTCGCTTTTTTTGATGGGGCGTTTCACGAGGTCATCGCAGTTTTAAATGAATAAAGAATGGTTATGGGCGCATGAGGATGTACATGGTTCCTTTTCGACACAAAAGTCGTTATCAGCTTCTGTGTTACAAATACCATTAGTCACTATTCTGGTATTTGGCATTTGTAAACTGACCCGCATTGACTTGTCCTGAGTCAAGCTCCGGTGGGAGAGCTGTGCCCATATACAGGGGCAGCCAACACGTGCCTTTGTTTCCATTGCGCGCCGGGACGCCTTTATTGTCATTAAGCTGATACGTTCTCATGGCAGAGGTGATAATTGGAAAAAACGGAAGGTGCGTGTGTTGGATAATGAACACAACTATATAATAAGTGTGTAACCTTTTGTCTGTGCCTGTCTGTGCATGCGCGCGGCTGTCTGGGTGAAGATGCCGGTTTTCTGGTATTTTTCCACTCGCGCCGGTGAAATCCCCCCTCCTCCCTCCTTTTTTCTAAACCCCCCTTCTATTTCTGACCCCTCCTCCTTCTCGTCACGTGACCCAGGCGCGCGCCTCTCGCTCAAATATTGTATTGATCTCTGTGCGTTAACGCGCGCAAAAAGGGAAACAAACCAGACAAACCAGACGCGGGGGAATGGAAACGGTGCAAACGTTTGAAATGGGCGGGGAGTAGATTCAAATAACGAGCTTATTAAATGTATCGTGCGTAGAAATTATAATTATTTACATTCGCTCTGCTACAATCAGATTTTTTTATATATATATATATATATATATACCAAAAGAATAAATAGTATAAGCACGATAACGCTGTAGCAAAATGTCATCTGTTGACTTTGTCACGAAGACGCTTGTGTTCATGAATTTTAATAAGCCAACACAGTCATGCATCAGGCTTATGTAATCTTGGACTGACAAAAAATAACACGTAAAATTATATCTTTTTCACGTTCTGTTGAATTTTCGCTTCCTTATATTAGTGGTTGGTAAGACCTGGCTGAATAAGAGGTTGGACAGGTTGGTGCGTTTGCTTTGACGCAGGTATGGTTTTGGTTACCATGACATGTAACCCATGACACGGGCGCGTAATAGTGTCTGGGAGAACTTTCTAAAACCTCTCTGAATTAGTATGGTCAGACTGGAACTACAGATGTGGCTAGTAAAGATTGTGAGTTTACTGTAAAAAGGGCTGGCTTCAAAATATACAATAAGCTTTGTCTCAATCATTGCAAGAATACAAATGGTCCCATAATAATATCCTTTTTGAATACACCCAATGAAAAGTAGCAGAGAGACCCTTTTCATGCTATTTTTGTGTTTTATTATGACTCAGAAGACAGTCCTGACTTCAAACATCTATTCAGTTGTCATTTTTCTGTGTCTTCCCAGAATGCAACAGCACACAGAGATGAACCATTTGAACGCTTTTCCGGAGGATGACAACTCCAGCAGCAACAGCAACGACTACGGATACCAGGACAAGAAAGTGCCACTGGGGAGGTGAGGCAAAATGGCCACCTGCTCTGCATTCGCACAACACATCAAGCTTTTCATCTATTATATAACTCATCATGTCATTCACAGCCCTTACAACGCAGACTTGGATGCAGAAATTCAGAACTTTCTTCCCGACGGCAACCTGGGAAAGAAGAAGTATGAGTCTGAATATGTAAGTGTACTGAATATGTTACTTTAATGTTATTTTTTATTGTGAAATACTTTGCAAGCTACTGTGACAACGCAATTTCCCTCGTGGATCAATAAAGTCTGTCTAAGTCTTTACGTCCAGAGCATGTCTCTCATTCTTTGTCCGATTAATGGAATATTAATGGGTTGTATTGTGCCCACAGCATCAAGGAAATGCCTCGTTTGGCATGTCTGTGTTCAACTTGGGGAACGCCATCATGGGCAGTGGGATCCTGGGTCTGTCCTACGCTATGGCCAACACTGGGATTGCATTATTTGTGTAAGTAAACAATGCTTTCAGATAAATGATGGAAAATCTACTTACTGTAAGTAGCTATTAACATGTTATTGACATGTGGTGAAGAAGTATGGGAGTAATGAACCTATACTCATCTCGCACACATTATAATCCAATGGCAACTGTCATATTTTTGGACTAATTCCGAACTGAAATAGCCAATATTGCAGAAGTTGCCCAAAATTGCAGAAATATTTCATGAGCTCCTTAACTCCATGCAGCTTCTCATTGTTTCCCTAAATTTTTGCCTTCATATTTTTAATCAATTTATATCAGCAGTCCTCTATCCCTTATATAGTTTCATAGCTCCAGCCTTGGTCTGTTTTCTGTATCACAAAAAAAAAGTGACCTATCAGCCTTATTTATTTACTGTTCGAAGTTGTAGATCGAAGGTGGGGGGAGAAAAAACTTTCCCTAAGCCGTGACGCAGCCCGCAGGGGTGGTTGTGTCTACCCAATGGACGCCTGGGTCGCTTTGTACTATTTCACTGCAAAATATCTGCTGGGTAAAGATTACCTCAGGGCCACCAGTTTTTTTAAACCTTACTATCAAGTTTGAGGGAGATAAAAGAGCAAAATGTACTGTTAGTTTTTGTGTGTGGTCCCAACATAAAGCAACAGCTGTTTAAATAGAGATAGAAACAGCGCCCCCTTTCTGTAGTGCCAGTTCCAGGATGTGAATTCTTATCTCATTTACATAGCTGAAGATAGAGTTACTGGGAAGTAATAGAACATGCACAGTTCCTGATATGATCTATTCAAAATTACTAAAAACTGTAATGAAAGTTTAGGTGTTATCTATTTACATTCTCAATAAGACAACATTGTGATCATCCAGTTTCAAAGCACATCCTGTGGTTATAGTTGCAGAACCTTGTGTAGCAATTGCACAAAGCCCAGTAGTAAAAACCGTGCACTGTGTGTGTGGTGCATGACTCAAGCAAATGGCGGCTGTTGTATTTACAAACAGAAGGAGTGGCCGTCGAAGCGGATTAGGGAGGGAAATGGCTTATCCTGAAGCTGCGACATAAGTGGGGAATTATCTCAAACGTGGATAATGAATGGAAGGTGTGGTGCAGTGTCGCAGATAGACATACGGTCATACAGTATTCTGAGGACTGGCCATAGAAGAGGGCTTTTGTTTTTAAATGCGAGTGGGTGTACAAGGTCACCGATTCAAAACATATGAATAGATCCATAAACAGTTGCATAAAAACCATCATTCAATCTATTCAAAGTGAGATCATTTTTGTGAATCTGCGTGTCGTGAGATGGAGTGTCCAGAGCTCCAGAATGACCCAAAGATTAATTGCCTCAGTGCTATGAATACAGAGCTGACCTATGTGTGTCACGGGCCAAGTTAAGAGGATCTAGACGACCTCCGGCTTCTGCACACGCTGCACTTGATACAGGAGCGATATCACAAATACAGTATGTTCCCTTTCTACTGTAGATGTAACGCAAAACTTCCATCAGTAAAAAGAAACAGACATTGGCTTGGGGATGAAGTAAGTTAAACAATAAAGTAGATGCTTTTTTGAGCGTTTAAGCGTGGGACAACATTGTTTCCTGATTAAAAACAGACCTAGTTTCTAGATCCATCCACGAAGATATCAGGAACTTCTGACATTTAACTTCTGTCTGACGCTTAGTCCTGTATTAGTATGAGACCAAAGGCTGTCTTTTAGAACAAAAGTGTTGTCCATAAATTAGTTTATCAAGTAAAATTACATTATATGCAATCACAAGTCTGGAAATTCAACATCTCTATCAGGCAGAAATCTTTGTATATTCTCTTTAATATATCATTTCACATTCTGAAGCATTTTCAGTACATAATTTTAGTCCTTCAGCTAAAGTTACTTTTAACAGAATTTGATGTGGTGTATGATATGTGTGTGCTTACTGGACTATTATCATTGTTTTTACAGCATCCTCCTGGTCGCCGTGGCAATCTTCTCACTCTACTCTGTCCATTTGCTGCTAAAAACCGCCAACGAAGGAGGTAATTCACTCTCACCCTATAAAACTCCAAATCCTGTCTTATTTCCCAATGGCATTTTAAACTGGACTATTCAACATCTTTGCAATGGATCGCATTTGTTTTTAACACGGTGCACTTTTTTCTCGTTTTAAGGGGCTCTTGTGTACGAACAGCTCGGTTATAAAGCGTTCGGGATGCCAGGAAAACTCGCGGCTTCGTGCTCCATCACCATGCAGAACATTGGAGGTGGGTGGAAAACGAATATATTACGCAAAGATACGTCATTTGGTAGTCAAAACAAGCTGCTTCTGTGCTCCCTGCCAGTCTGCAAACCCAGTATGGAAATGAAAAGTGTTTTATTTTCCAGTTTTTGAGTCGTATTCCAAATAAAAAGACTGAAAGCATATTGTAGGTCTGAATGTTATTACAAATTTATATTGTGGTTCTTGTTCCACAGCTATGTCCAGCTACCTCTTCATCGTCAAGTATGAACTGCCAATCGTCATTGAGGCTTTTACGGGAACCAGTAGGTAAGTTACAGCTCATGAAGCACTTAAATCTAATATTATCACTAGAAATAAACATGTAATTGTGAATTGTGGGAATAGCTCAGACCACAACATGCTGTCCTGATCATACCATTTGTTATCATTTGCACACTTGCATATACTAAAAGCCCCGTGAGTCACTACTTGACTTGGGGCCGAGAGCTGAGTGAGGTCTTCTCTTTTTCACTTTTACGTCTGACAAAGCTGATCTAAAGATGTGACAGAGGCCATAAAAATCATGAATGCGGAAACTAGTGATAGAACTAACCTATTCTTAGCACAACTAGTTTGATGAGTTTTATGTTTATGTTTTGAAAATTAGGTACCTCGGCTTTAATCAATGTAGATCTGCATCTGATATGTTTTTTACTATATCTATTTTTGAATATTAAAATTGGTCTTCTGGGTCACCACCATACAGGACAATATGGAAATACTTTAGCAAATGAGAATGAGATTAGAATTAAAGCAAAGCCGTGCAGTGGTTTAGGTACTAACAATAACATTCATTCTAAACATAACATATTACATAACAGTAATAGCCCAAAAAATGGTTATATATAAAATGGCGCAGTGTAAAATAATGCTTAGGTAGACCCTGTGCCAGGTTTTACACGAGCAGGTCATAAAGGGTTAAAGGGATGGCTAAATTGATATGCACATTCTTATCTAATGCCCTCATGCACTTTTAATGCAGTATACTCTTAAAATAGCCGTGCACCTCTACCAGAACCTTTAAATCTAGCTTGTCCACGCTGACAGAACCACTCGAGCCGCACAGTTGCCGGGCAAAACGATGCTTGGCTCTTCACCAAGTGGCTGAAGGTTAGACGCTGAGTGCTTCTCCTTGTGTGTGGAGACAGAGAGACAGAGCACAGATGGACTTGAGGAACAGAAACCTGCCCAGTCTCACAAGTCCGGATTGGAAAGAGGGCTTTGAGTCTGCCGCAGCTGCTCCCAGTCACTCACCGAGGTCGTGGCAAGCTTAAAAAATTCATGTTCAGGACGGTGCCTTTGTTCTGCTCTATTTTAGTGCGGCTGCTGCAGTGTCAGCCTGCTCTGTGGTGGATGTGTCATGAGAGAAGCAGGCAGGCTTGATCAGATTCCTAGATGGATTTGGTAAAAGGAAGGAAGGAAGATTTTTAGTTTTGAGTCCGATGTCAAAACTAAAAATCTATAGAGGTATTACTAGACAAATAACATGGGCATTTATAGGCACACAAGGAAGAAAGTCTGTTTAAAACTATTATTATGAAGTCATGTTTTGATTGAGGTGCATTAGGTGCTACACAGGCCTACATTTGTCCAAAATAATGGTCTTTTTTCAGTTTATTTGTCAAATTGTGTGTCATTATGTATGTTGTCACTCATCTTAGCTCTCTTTTTTATTTGTTTGCAGTGAATGGTACACTAACGGAGACTACCTTGTCCTGCTCGTGAGTGCCGTGATCATCCTGCCACTTTCTCTCCTCAAAAATCTCGGTAAATAAACTTGCACGCACTCCCTGTCTATCCCTATTCGAATCTGTTTAAAAACATCTGAATACAATGTAAATATGGTGTGGACGATACCCTCTCACTGTCATGGTATGATTCGTCATTGCGTTGTTTGTTTTGTTGCAGGTTACCTTGGTTACACAAGTGGGCTGTCCCTTCTCTGCATGGTCTTCTTCCTGATTGTGGTAAGGGTTTTTCCTTTTATAACATGAAAATAAGCACACTTTTTGGGGCACGTGATGACAACATGAGGATTAGTCGGAGAAAGCCTGCTGACAGCAGAAAACAGCTGACGTAACAACATATTATAGCAAACACTCAATTATTATTTCAAGCTTCTGTATGTATTTAACATAAAACAACAAGATACAAAATAAACAGAAAACAATTATTTATGTCTAATTATTGAAGGGCCAGTGACAGGTTTGACTGTTTTGTCTCAGTTACCATCATTGGATTCAAGATCACGTTTTTCCAGTTTGGCTATAATTGTACTTCCTGGTTGTAGATGATGACATCACTAGATGTTACTTATAGCACAAGTAATAATAAATGTTGTCTATTGGGCCAAAAGAAATTAAGATAAAGATATATAGATACAGATTCATGCTGCTAAAATCTGGAACAATCTTCCTGAAGATGTGAGACAGGCCTCCTCAATGACAATGTTTAAAACCAGGTTAAAAACAGTTCTGTTTAGCTGTGCATACAACTGAGGGATTTTATATTTATATCTTTCTTTTTAATGTTCTGTGATTATTTATGATTTTAATGCTATCTTGTTTTGTTCAGCACTTTGAATTGCCTTGTGTATGAATTGTGTTATATAATTTACTTGAGTAAAGTATGTTGTTAATGTTGCAGATTTTAGTTCAAGAACTCTCTTCTACTTCTTATCCATTTCAACTAATCTTTTTAATTTTCAAACTATGAATTAGTGTAGCAATAATTTGGTGTGATTTTTACTTAAAATAAATGCTGCAACACAAACACAGATACTGTATGTAGCCTATATCCAACTGCAGAATAAGAATTGCATGAATGTAGTTTTGTCTGTGTTTTTTGTCTCGCTCTCTCTCGAGAAGGTCACGATTGTAATGTTTGCGTCTGCAGGTGATCATAAAGAAGTTCCAGATCCCGTGTCCGCTGCAGATTATAGATGACGCTGTGATAAACGAGACTTTGAGCAGAATGATCAACAGCACGTCCCCGCGCCTCAACCACACCACCGGGGACAACAGCGAGGATGTGTGCACGCCCAAATATTTCGTTTTCAACTCTCAGGTACACGCCCACACTTTTGTTATTTCATGTAAAAGGAATGTCGTCACGTTTCAAATTGTGACATCTCAAGTGAACCCCACTCACGCTCACCCTCGCAGCTTTCTGATTGGACAAAAAAACTATTTTTTTACTATTTGAAATACATTACTTTTGAAAAAATACATAATTTACATGATAGCACAGGGTCGCATGGTCAAAAATATGCATTATTTGTTTCTGACATCACCTTTAATTGTAGCTAATTTTTATAACAATACATATTTTTGACGCTCTGAACCTGTGCCGTATAATATATATTATTAGTATACATATATTATACATGAACTCAAACTCATTTAGGCTCATCGCATAATTACCACCAATAAGAATAGTTTGAATTTCTTTTGTCCAATCAGAAAGTTGTAGGCGGGATATTTTTATGTTATCTCTCTTTCTTCACAATTTGAAAAGTAAATAACATTCACTTTAAGCAGACAATACATAATTTGATCAACTATTTATATTATGTATCTATGGATTGCAGACTGTGTACGCTGTGCCCATCCTGACCTTTGCCTTCGTGTGCCATCCCGCCATCCTGCCCATGTACGAGGAGCTCAAAGAGTGAGTATATCTTTCTCTTAAAACTTTACATTTAGTGGTTACTAAGAAAGATACACAATTTCAAGTACACATGTCTTTGCTCCATGTTTAACAGAAGTAATGTTCAGATTTTCAAAAAAGCAGAGAAGACAAAGAGCTTTACTGACAAATTCAAATTACATTCAAGAATAATGAATTCTACGAAATAATAATGTATTCATCCTATATTTATGAATATTAGTGTACCATTTTATTTTCATACTGGAATTGAGATGGCCTGCACCAAATTTGGGTTGATTCTAAACCTGCAAAAAAGTGGCAATACTTTTGACCCAAACTGTATTAGAAAAACAATGTTCTATATCTAAATGAAGTTAAAATCTAAATGTTGAAATCAAAATGAAGTGGTTAATGGTGTGGGTGTGCTTTTCTACAGCCGGTCTCGCAGAAAGATGCAGGGAGTAGCCAACGTTTCCTTCCTGTCCATGTTCATCATGTACCTGCTGGCCGCTCTGTTCGGATACCTCACTTTCAATGGTGAGTTTGTACAGATGCCCTTTAAAGCTGTGGTACCTAACTTCAAACTGCAACAAAACTCAATTGTTGCTAGTTCCTGAAAAACACTTTGGTTAAATCCCTAGTTTTCACATGGATGTATTTCTGAGCTCTGGCACAGTGACTCACAGGGATTTTCTTACAAATAATGCAAAATACGTACAACTCCAAGTCTATATGAGACCTTCTGCCCAGAACAGTGCCTTAAACAGTAACAAACCAACAGGTTAGTTTGTGTATTAATCTGTTATATAATCCTGAGATGGGAAACTCTGCACCTGTTCAATTCAAATGCATCTTTTCCTGTTTGCACATTTTAGTTACATAAGAATGAACTTTCTCAGAAACAAGTTACACAACTGGTAGATAACATGATTACGTTCCAAAAACAAAGCCACGGAGCCAATGCACTGTCAATAAGTAGTAAATTACCAAATTGGTGTTTGTTCCTGTTTGACAAGGTTGAACTGTATTTGCAGCTGCTGTGAATATAAATCATAGTTTTGAACAAACGTCTTTTTTTTACTTTTTGTAATAAATCAAAGAGTAGACCCATTATGAATGATAAATACAATAAATACAAATCAGACCGCACCGTGCTGTCCTCATGTTTGTATCTTTTGTGTACCTGTGAGAAAGAGCCCTGTGAGTCACTATTTGACACTTTGGGCTGAGAGCTGAGCGAGGGAGGTCCTTTTTTTCACTTTTCTGACTAAAAACGCAAAATTAAAGATGTGACGGAGGTCTAAGAATACATCCATGTGAAAACTAGCGATAGAACCACACTATTGAGAGGAATTTTATTAGTTATCCCAGCTTTAAATACATTCTGATAAGATGAGATGTACAAAGGATCATACAAACTTTCACCAATAAGAATAAGGTTTTTAATTGCCCTATTTTCGGTATTGGTTGTGGATTTGAATATGAATTGTTGAATGTCTCTCTCCTCAGTCCGCGTTGAGCCTGAGCTGCTGCACACTTACTCCAAAGTCTACAAGGCTGACGTGCTGCTGCTGATCGTGCGCCTGGCCGTGCTGACCGCCGTGACCCTCACTGTCCCTGTGGTGCTTTTCCCTGTGAGTAAACAAACAACCACATTATCACACTTTAGCATTATTTCATTTTTCACAATAATCTCATAACTTTATTTAGTAATTACCTCTTCATCTCGACACATAGTTGACCGTCAACGATTTGCATTTAGTTCTAATTGAGTATTTGAGTGTGTTTATGAGTGTGGTTGTTGTCCCGCAGATCCGCACATCGGTGAACCATCTCCTGTGTGCCTCTAAGGATTTCAGCTGGGTACGTCACATCATCATCACCGTGGTGCTTCTGGCCGCAACCAACGCCCTGGTCATCATGGTGCCCACCATCAGGGACATCTTTGGATTCATCGGTGAGTTTCCGATTTCATGGAAAGAAAAAAAAATGCAATGATAAGATAACAAAAGATAAAACTTTATTGATCCCACAATGGAGAAATGTACATGTCACTTTTAGCATAGATAGAATCACTGTCTATGCCAAAAGACAGGAAGTGTGCAAACTGGTTAAAATATAGGCTCTTTTGTGCAAGATATATCAACGCAAGAGTGACAATAGCAGTGCGAGTGTTTCAGTGTGTGTGTAGTGCAGGTCATTGAAGTGACTTATTGTACAGTCTGACAATGGTGGAGTCCCCTTGGCAAAAGAAAACTATGCATTTTGTAACTACAGTGTTTGCACATGTTGTTTGGTTCTTTCCAGCCAAGATCTGTGGGCTCTAGCAGCAAATGGCAAAAGATTATGCATAAAAACCCCACATGATTTATGCATGCAGTTATTGCACTTGGTATATGTGCTTATGGGATTTTTCTCTTGTGTCCAGGCGCCTCTGCTGCTGGTATGCTCATCTTCATCCTCCCCTCTGCTTTCTACATCAAACTGGTCAAGAAGGAGTCCATGAAGTCTGTGCAGAAGATTGGGGTAAGAACGCAAAGACTTCTCACAAATACACCCATGACACTTTAGGGCTAACCGTAATTGGGGTTTCTCTTCTTCTTTTTTTAATCATAAATACATTGTAAATAGACTTGACCTAGAAATCTACCGGTCTCTATTGGGATGGATAAGATTGGATTTAGTGCCCGATGACAAAGACAAAACTAGGCTTAGAAACTGTTGATATAAAAAGGTGATACATATATTATTTATTATATTTAGAGAGATGGATGGATTAACTACATCCATTACACTATTTCTAAATATGACAAAAAGTGGCTTATAATTTTAATTATTGTATGTTTTTATGCTAATGGAGCAAGCATAAAATATCTTTAGACCAGCAATCATTCCAATGAAAAAAAATTATATTGTGCTTGAAATCCTGTAAAAGTAGATTCAATCAAAATACGCTAAAACCAGGATACATTTTCCATAATATCTCACATATGAACCTCATTATTTTGTCATTTCAGCAGTGCATACACTCTTTGCTTAGACTTATTTCTCCATATTTCTCCACAGGCCACTGCTTTCTTGATCTTTGGATTCTTGGTGATGATCGGCAGCATGACCCTCATCATCTTGGACTGGACCACCAAGTCCACAGAGCACAAGGGCCAGTAGGTCCCCGTGTCGGCCCTGTCGCTGCCTGTGCAAAAAGACACCAGACTTACCGCACTGGACTGCTTTAATGAAAACTCCTAAACATTTGACGAGAAAAACCAACACTTTCAGCTCGGACATTTTGAGCCGCAAACCAATTTCCTGGTGAATGTAACAAGACGTTGTATAGTTGTACCTGCATAGGCCACTTAAAAGCCGGCATTTTACTCGTTTTTACTTTTAATGTAATATATTTTTGTGTCTTTTGCTTTTTTCTATTGAGTTTTTTGTAGTTGTGGTACAGATGCAATTTTTGAAGGTGCCTCAAGTCTAAAAACAATAATAGTACTAATCCTAGTTTAGCTCAGGTACAGACACTCATAACGTTATGCCTGCTAAACAGAAATCACTGTTGAATATTTTTTTGAGGCAACAAACTTGAATTGCTAAAAAATTGCAACCGTTTTCCCAACCATCTGAACTGGAATACTTGAGTTTTTATTTTTCCTGCTAAATCCGATACAGAACAATCAATAGACTTTTAAACAACTTGAAAGTGCATTAAGTTAGGATCTGGGACCAACAAAATTGACAATTACAATTTGGTCTAAAGTAATTGCTGACGAATGTAGTTTACAATATTTCCTTTTGTCCAAATATATAACGGTGGTCACCCTAGATTGAAATCCTTCCAACTGCTTGCTTTTATTTTGCCAAAAATGTTTATTGTGAAGCATTTCTTTGTTTTCCATAGAGCACTTATGGCTTGTCAGCGCACTCAGAAATTATCCACCTTTCAGTATTGTCATGTACATTACACTGGGGCTACTGTATTTAACCATGTAACCTGCTGAACTCATTGTACATGTGCAGAAAAACACTACTGCTTTACATCAAGCCTTTATTGGGCCTTAAGACTTTTTTTTCTTTATGGGAGAATTTTTATGAATTTGACCACATGCAGTGGTTGTAATACCTGTAAACTTGTAAAACCAAACCGCTAAAACGTGATGTGGCTTTTCATCAGCCACCACTTTAAAAATGTCCATCAGAAGTGTTCTGAGGTGTTCCACTACACAGCTTTGTCAATGAAGAACTTCGGACGACTTTTCAGTTTTGAGCCCTGACACTGTGTGAACAATAAGAACAAAGCACCATCTATTTATGAGAGAACAGTGAATCAATGTAATTTATACTATTTTATTATATTTATATAATAATGTATGTGTGTATATATAAATGTACATATCTATATGGTCTTCTACTTGTATATATGCGTTTTGTCTGGACTTTTTTACAAACGCATTGGAGTTGAATCAAAATAATGGTGAATTTGATACAATTTTGCTCCACTGCAGTCGAGTCTCACCAGACTGACTGAACTACCGCTGTTACATAGACATTTTTGTTCCTTTTTGAGCCTGAAATCAAATAGGTTTGGTTCTCTACGCACATCACAGGACCTCAGGAGCAAAGAGGGCACAGCCTGCCAGTGTTACACTTGTTTCAATGAAACACTTTGTATATTCTGTAATTATTCATGCTCAATAAATTGAAACTAAATACATGTATGCATTTTATATTTGTTGTCTTACTTATAACCGTTAATGTAAAAGATGAGATGAGACAGTATCACTATTACTGCAACTTGTGTTACTACCAGTGGTACTGGTTTCCCTACCGTCAGAGGGAAACCTTTACTGATCTGAGTCTTTGGTGAACAGCTGCCCCCTGGCGGAGGGATGGCGCACTCTCGTCTCAGTGCCCGAAGGTAACATCAGGTACAGGACAGAGAAGGCCATACGATAATCTTATCTCATAGCTATTTTTATATAGTTATTCAGGAAATCAGATAATCACATAAGGTAAACACCGTAATAAGAAGTCCTGACTCCTGAGACTTTCATGGAGGCTGAAAAAGTTTGGGTGCTAAAGGAACAGTAGTCCATCAGGATTCATGAACACCTCATAACCTTGTTGCGCCGCCCTTTCAAAAGCCACTGTAATGCCTTTTATAACGACAGTTAACCACACTTTTACATAGAAGTAATTATATTTTTTTTGTATCTTAGAAATATAGGCTGATTTTGTTATCCACTCGGCCCCGTGGCTGAGAGAATTGCTCTCTCGCTTCTCAGCAAGAAGGTCCTGGGTCCGCAACCCGGTCGGAACGGAGTCTTTCTGTGTGGAGTTTGCATGTTCTCCCTGTGCCTGCGTAAGTTTCCTCCAGGTACTCCGGTTCCCTCTACCACTAAAAACACACACATTAATAATAATCCTCCAGCTCTGGTAGTCCTGAGCAAGCCGAGCATCAACACCTCGAGATGGGTTCCTGGCACTGTTACTATGGCGACCACTGCTCCTGATGTAAGCCTTAGTGGCATCAGGATGGGTCAAATGCAGATGAATTATAGGGATTAATAAAGTGCACCTATACTCCACTTTTGACTGTTTGAACAGAGTGCCGAAGAATTTTCCTAGTATGTGGCTTCCTGTCACTTACATGGTAATACATTTTTCCGATTCTTGAATGAGTCTTTGTGATCTTAAGGTTCATGGCATTTTATTTTCATCCTTTATGGAGGGGGGGGGGGTTGCAATCAGAGCTGCTACCCAATTCACAAAGCACAGGTTCCTCACTGATCCTCCTGCACGTGGTGGGTTCACAGACTTCGCAGGAAGACGACTACTCCTTCAACGAAGATACAGCCTTGGTGTTTCATCAGGGGCTAAAGGCAAAGTGGGGTTAAGTGTCTTGCCCAAGGACACAATGATAGCAGTCATCAGTGGGAGCAGATAATATGGGTGGTGGTGGGATCAAACCCATGATCATGAGGTTGAAAGACTAATGTTCTAAAATCTGAGCCACTATCGCCCCAAATGATCTGAAGATATTCAATTACAGAGTAATGACCGAACTTATCAAAACATAACAAACACTTTGTGCGCGGCTCAGAGAGCAGCTACTTTTATTCCACTATTGACTGCATCCAAATTCACACTTTGACACATCCAGACACTAACAGGAAGTGGGCATGGTCACACAATCACACTGCACTTTAAAGCTGGGGTACCAAACTTTTTAGTTTAATGGACAGTGCATTTATCCCCAATGACGAGTCACAAAGAGCCCTGTGAGTCACTGTTCACTTGACAAAAGCTGATCTAAAGTTGTGATACAGGTCAAAAATACATGCAGCTGAAAACTGGGGATGTAACCAACCTGTAGGGACAGGTTCGATAGACGTCAACGTATATTTCCATCGTTAGCCTTTTAAAATCAGGTACTCCAGCTTTAATACACACACATTCGATTGATTCATGATCAAAGTGAATCAGCCAGTTAACCAATCAGCAAAAAATACAATTACAATTGCAACAAATCTTAACCCAAAATAAATTTCTGGGCCACAAATGCTTAAGGCAACACACTTTATCTTTCAAACTAGATTCTCATTATAAACAGCATCATTTTAAAAAAGAACAGATAATATTTAATAAACCTTTAGGATAATTACAGTGTACCATTATCCCAGCTCATTTTCAATTGTCCAGTCCTTACAGCAGTCCGAAAACATCTATGCAAAATAAAGGGCTCTTTGCATTACAATTTTGGGTTTATGATTCTAACAAAATATGACAAATCTATAGAAAAATCTTCATTTGATAAAAGGTAAAAAGAAAAAACGGTGGCGCTCCTTAAGTCATTTTGTAGATCTGGACGCCTGTTTCCAGCTCGAAGAAATTGCACTTGAGAAGCTGAGAGGGGAGGGTCCCATATTCACTTTTTCCGAGCGTGTTTGTATTTGTCCACATATGCTTTCACCAGGTTAGCAACTTTACTGGAGTTCACCTCGCCGCTTTTACTGTGACACACCTACGAGAAGGGAGGAAAACCCTAGTGATGTGTGGTCACTAAAACATTTCACTAATATGTTTAATGTGCATACCTTTTCCACAGCTTTGCGGACAATTTCCTTGTACTCTTCTTTAGTGACTTCTTTCTTTTGGTAATACGGTTTCATGGCGTTTTTCACTTCGTTGATCGCTTGCTCTTGAATGTGTTGTTTCTGTAGAAAAAGATGGATCCTATGATTAGTACATGTAAAAGGTACAAAGCATGCATTTACCAAATTTTCTGGTCAAATTAAGAAGACTCCCATTTTCTCTTGAAAAGCAGGAGGGTCTGGTTCTATACATTTACCTCATTGCCGCCAGTTCTTCTCACCTTCTCCTTCTTGGAGCTGTCTGCTTGAGCGCGGTTGTGCTGCGGCTGAGTGGTGGAGGAGGGCAGGACCTGTGACGCAATGGGAGCCGCTGGTGTCACTTTGGTCGGAGTTGCAAACAGGGGCTTTGCATATCCTCCCATGTTACTGACCATCTAGGGAATACACAAAAAGCATACTAAAGTTAGGGCTTTTAAATTCATTAAGCTATGTGTGAATAAAAAAGATCCTTATCTTCATTATTGTTAGCCCGAATTAGTTGTTGTGTACTTAACCAGGAGGCAATGAGTTAACAGCACAGCCTATTTTGACTTTTATAGGTGTGGCAGTTGTTGTGTATGTTGAGGGTAAAGTTTTAGATTTGTAGAAATAACACAGTTGCAGTGTCACCTGTGTGCTGTGTCCCTCGGGCTGAGCGGCTGTCTGACTTGCCAGCTGCATGGGTGGTGGAGGAGGAGGGGGAGGAGGAAGCCCCTGCGCGCCTTGTAAAAGGGGCGCGGCGGTGTGGAGGTGCACTGGGACCTGGGAGGGAGGCAGGCCGTATGGGGCCCCCGGCTGCAGACTCATGGGCACAGGGCCACGAGCACCAGGCAGAGCAGGGTAGTGATGCAGGAGCTGAGGATGGGGCGATACCAGCACCGGGACGGGAGCATTGCCGGGTACACTCTGACCCACAGCATCCAATTTAAGCGGATCTGAAGAATATGATGAACATTTAATTTAAATGAACTTTGAAAAATTCTAAAAACATGTTTTTTCTTTCAATATTACTCAAATATATGTCATTAATTTAAAGTGGTTCATATCATCAGTGTCTCACCTGCAGTGGTGGTCTCCTCCTCCGGCCGGCTCCATCCACTCGGTCCTCCTCTCTCTCTTTTGGAATAATAATCTTGGACATCTGCTGGCAGAGTCCTCCGTACGGCCCAGCTGGATGCAGAAGACCAGCCAGAGCGGTCCATGGCCTCCCCAGACTCCATCTCTTTTCTCCGCCCACCTCTGTTCTCATTAAACCGACTGTATGCATCATTTCCTGCACTGCTACCACTTCCAGCCCCCGAGAAATTATTCCTGGGCTGCCAGCGGTTCTCGCTCTGTTCGTCTTGGTTAAAAAAGCTCCTGTTTCCAGCAGCTCTTCCTCTGCCCCGGTCGAAGCCTCCTCTGCCACCTGGACCCCTCCCTCTCGCATGCTCCTCCCACCGCGGAGCTGCACTGCTCATGCTGCTTCTCTGCTTCTCCACCCAGTCTGGGTTCGAGTCCACCACACTCCTTTCAGGTGATTCAGTGTTTTGAAGGCCGTTTTCAAACCTCCCCCCTCCGTACTTGCGGCCCTCTCCTCCAGACCTCCACCCTCCTTTCCAGTCAGTGGTTTGGGGAGACTCCTCTCTGCGGTCATCCCTCTTTTCCTCTCTCCAGTCATCCCTCTTTTCCTCTCTCCGGTCAATTCTTCTCTCCTCTCTCTCTGGGCTTCGGTCACCTCTTCTGTACAACCTGTTTCTCGACCTGGACCTGCTCCTGGACCGGCTTCTTGACCTCCTCCTTCTTCTGTCCCTGCTCCTGTCTCCGCTCCTGTCCCTGCTCCTGTCCCTGCTCCTGCCCCTGCTCCTGTCTCCGCTCCTGTCCCTGCTCCTGTCCCTCCGTTGAGAGTCCCCATCCCTCTCTCGCTCTCTGCTGCGCCGCGCTGATCGGCTCTGACTCCCATTGCGCTCCTTGGATTGCGATCTTTTGTCCTGTTTTGAATCTTTGGACTCTTTGGACTCTCGTTTGGGCGACCAAGATGTGGTGGGCGAGTGAAATCGGGAGCGACGCGGTCTGCTCCTCTCTGGACTTTTGTCTTTATCAGTCTTTTCCTCGTTTTGCTTCTTGTCTTCACCTTTAGGAGCTTCATTGTTTGGTTTGGCCTCCAGACCGGTACTCTCATTTTCTAGAGGTGTCCTACCTCCATGTTCACTTAACGGAGAACCAAAATCCATTGGCATCTCATTCATATCTTCAGTGTCTTTACCGGCATCTTCCCCTAGCGCTTTCTTATCATTGGCATTTGAAACAGCAGCAACATTTTCTGACACAGATTCTGATTGTCTTGGCGACTGCCCGTCACTTTGTAGTGAATCATTACTCCTTTTCTCCCCAGTTTTAAGATCATCAATATCATCTTGTGAAGTTTCTGATTTTGGGGAATTTTCTGTTTTATCAACGCTCTCTGCTCCTGTAGAGTCCTTGTCCTCTTCGTCACTAATGTCCATTTCTTCATGCTTGGGAGATTCTTGTTTGTCATTGTCTGAAATCAAATCTGGTTCCTCTCCAGGTTTTGGACTAGCATTAGCGTACATTTCTTCTTCTTCCTTCTCCTTGTCTTCCTCCTCGACACTACAGTTTTCTTCATTTGTTGAAAGAGGACTATTTGGAGCAGAATTTTTTGAGGATGGAATTTCTTTTTCTTCAGTCTCACTTTCATGTTTGTCCTGAGTATCACTACTGTCCTGGCTAGTGTCATTGGCTAGTGGTTTGTCCTCATCCTCCTGAAGCCCGGCATCATGGTCATTGTTCTGACTCTCCTCTGTACTGATTGCGAGCTCCGAATCATCTATATCTTCTACGTTTTTCTCTTGGTCTTGTTCTGATTGTTGCGTTTCGGTTTTATTGCCCACTTGTTCATCTTCTGTGTTGTTTTTTGTTGTGTCCTCCTCCTCTTCACTGCTGCTGACAACTTCTGTAGAACGTTTTTTCCTGGCTGGAGCTTTCCTTTTGCCACTCGCTTTTCTGTTGGTTACCTGTGATTATAAAGACTCACAATGTAAACAATGGCAGAAATTATATAATAACAAAAAAGCGTTTTTAGAAAAAGTGAAGACACTATGTGGAAACTTGGGGATATTTGTTATGGCAAGGTATGAAGTGCAAGGAATTATAATTCAGCAAGAAATTACTTGGAATAATTGAATATCAAAATATATATTACATTAATTGGTATTGAAATTAAAGTGACAACGTATTTAAACTGTATTTTTTAAAATAAAATTTCCCCCAAAGATGTAGTTTTGTGAAATTAGAGACATACATACACAAACAAACGCAGTATCGAATCTGTCCTTACCCGTTTGCCTTTCCGCTTGCCTGCTGCCTGTGCCGCTCTACCTGGTCTTGAGGGGGCGCTGGGGGGAGTGTCTGAGTCCGAGGCACCCGAGGACTGAGAGGACTGAGGATCAGAAAGGGGGGCCTGTTCCTGACTTTTAGAGCCTCGAGTTGAGCGTTTGGACACTGCTTGTTTGGGAACAGCTTTGGACACCCTGCCGCCTTTTTTCTCTCCTCCTTTGGGACACGTGATCGCACACACCACTCCCTCAAACACTGAAAGAGACGGGAGGCAAGACAAAAGTAGAATCATACAATTTACAGCGCCTGGTAAAACAGACCTGCAAACCCTGAGGCCGACTTCAGAACCACCCTCCAAAACCTGAAGTTTTCCTGAAATTCAACGTCTACTAAATGATTGGTATCTCGGCCTCTGTAGCAGATAGATTCGAAAGAATTTGAGAGCTGACACTTGTGGCTTTCAATAAGAATGCAGTGTATTATAAAACTTCAGTAGAAGAATATACAACTTCCACACAGGAAAGGTAATAAAACAACCAAAAACAATGTGAGACTAACACATGTTTATCAATGCAATAAGTCAAAAAGAGTTTGGCAATAAAGTGGCAGTAACTATGTAGAAAAAAATATAAAAAATCCACTCTCAGCCCAAAAAGTCAAATAATGACTCAAGGCTCTTTCTAAAGTAAGCAAAATAAACAAAACAGGACTGTTTTGGTTTGTTCTGTTTGATTTGGTCACAACATTTTATTTTTTGCCCAAAAAACATGCATTGTCAATGCAAGCAAAAATTTAGGTAGCTGAGCTTTATTTTTCAGTGAGTCTGCGCTTCGTCAGGAGACTTCGGGGAGACTGGGGAGAGACATGGGGGAGAGACAGGGAGAGACGGGGGACAGACGTGGGAGGGAGCTTGCTGCACGTGCGGGTCTTTCCCGGCCTTAAAGGTAGAAGTGCGCAACAGCGCTCCCGGCTTGAAAGGGAGAAACGCTGGAATGCGTTCCCGGCCTCAATGCATTAAACAGAGCTCCGATCCATTGGGTCCCAAAGATTTTCAGTTTGATACACAAGTGCTGTTATAATACATGAAGACAGAACTATCATGGCAAACGACTTTCTTCAAACTATCTAAAGCTAAGGGCCCGTCCAAATTCTGAGGGCCCTCCAGGGGTGCCAGAAAAGTGCCATCCCATGGGGGAGTGCACTCGCAGGATATTCTCCCTAAGAATTGGGACACCCCTGGATCTAGGAGACAATCGCACATGTACACACACAGACACACATGTACATACACAGAGACATACAGTGCCTTGCGAAAGTATTCGGCCACCTTGAACCTTTCAACATTTTGCCACATTTCAGGCTTCAAACATAAATATATAAAATTTTAATTTTTTGTCATGAATCAACAACAAGTGGGACACAATCGTGAAGTGGAACGAAATTTATTGGATAATTTAAACTTTTTTAACAAATAAAAAACTGAAAAGTGGGGCGTGCAATATTATTCGGCCCCTTTACTTTCAGTGCAGCTAACTCACTCCAGAAGTTCAGTGAGGATCTTTGAGTGATCCAATGTTGTCCTAAATGACTGATGATGATAAATAGAACGCACCTGTGTGTAATCAAGTCTCCGTATAAATGCACCTGCTCTTTGATAGTCTCAGGGTTCTGTTTAAAGCACAGAGAGAACCATGAAGACAAAGGAACACACCAGGCAGGTCCGAGATACTGTTGTGGAGAAGTTTAAAGCCGGATTTGGATACAAAAAGATTTCCCAAGCTTTAAACATCTCAAGGAGCACTGTGCAAGCAATTATATTGAAATGGAAGGAGTATCAGACCACTGCAAATCTACCAAGACCCGGCCGTCCCTCCAAACTTTCATCTCAAACAAGGAGAAGACTGATCAAAGATGCAGCCAAGAGGCCCATGATCACTCTGGATGAACTGCAGATAACTACAGCTGAGGTGTCCATAGGACAACAATCAGTCGTGCACTTCACAAATCTGGCCTTTATGGAAGAGTGGCAAGAAGAAAGCCATTTCTCAAAGATATCCATAAAAAGTCTCATTTAAAGTTTGCCACAAGCCACCTGGGAGACACACCAAACATGTGGAAGAAGGTGCTCTGGTCAGATGAAACCAAAATCAAACTTTTTGACCACAATGCAAAACGATATGTTTGGCGTAAAAGCAACACAGCTCATCACCCTGAACACACCATCCCCACTGTCAAACATGGTGGTGGCAGCATCATGGTTTGGGCCTGCTTTTCTTCAGCAGGGACAGGGAAGATGGCTAAAATTGATGGGAAGATGGATGGAGCCAAATACAGGACCATTCTGGAAGAAAACCTGTTGGAGTCTGCAAAAGACCTGAGACTGGGACGGAGATTTATCTTCCAACAGGACAATGATCCAAAACATAAAGCCAAATCTACAATGGAATGGTTCACAAATAGACGTATCCAGGTGTTAGAATGGCCAAGTCAAAGTCCAGACCTGAATCCAATCGAGAATCTGTGGAAAGAGCTGAAGACTGCTGTTCACAAACGCTCTCCATCCAACCTCACTGAGCTCGAGCTGTTTTGCAAGGAAGAATGGGAAAGAATTCCAGTCTCTCGACGTGCAAAACTGATAGACACATACCCCAAGCGACTTGCAGCTGTAATTGCAGCAAAAGGTGGCGGTACAAAGTATTAGCGCAAGGGGGCCGAATAATATTAAAGTTTAAATTTTCCTATAAATTTCGTTCCACTTCACGATTGTGTCCCACTTGTTGATTCTGGACAAAAAATTTAATTTTTATATCTTTATGTTTGAAGCCACAGTAGCTCAGTTGGTAGAGCATTGGCCTTAAGGCCAGAAGGTCGTGGGTTCATTTCCCACCTCTGCACCTTCTCCATCGACTCCCACTGATGACTGCTGTTGTTGTGTCCTTGGGCAAGACGCTTAAAGAAGCTATACCCGATTTTTTTTCTAAGTAGTTCATAAAAATGCTTTTTACTACATACAAGTTGTATCATAATACATCATTTAATTGAAAACTTGAGGTCATTGATTCAGCTGTGTAAGAATTACAAGCAGTGAAAAGTGCTGAGTAGAGTCTGAGCGGGCCGCTCTTTCTCCTCCGCTCACAGAACGAGCAGCGAACAGTCTGCGTCCTCTAGCCTCTACAGCGCTGCTTAACACCAGGGCTTCGACTTCAAAATTCGAATATCATTCTAAAATAAAAATATATACATATTTGAACAAATATTAGACAACCCTTATAATTCGAAATGTATTTAATGACTGCAAATATAATAGTTAGCTCCCAAAGGTTTCACCGGGACGTGCTAGGCAGGTAACAGCTAAGCTAGCTAGTTGTTTCATGGTAACTTCCGGGTTTTTCACAATCGCTTTTTGTCACATTAAAACCGTATTTTTGTCATGAAAACGTTGACAGCAAATTCTGAAATCGTCCGTGCATGTGTGTTAAGGATGTATATGTATACTGTATTGTCCGATTGACGTTTAATGGTGTTGATTGATAGATATGTAGTTGTTTATTGAGCGTGGCCATCTCCGCTAGCTCCGCTAGCTTCTCTACACAGACAAGTGTGTAGTGACAAGCGCTGATAGCGTTTTGTACTTGCAGAGTAATGGCAGTATTTTACACACCTGAATCACAAACAGAGATTGCATTGGGGCTTCGGTCATTATTGGTTTGAGAGTTCTGTTATCAAGAAAAAATGATCGGAAGAATTGCATTCAAGTCAATGGAGTGCTGCTGCTTTGAGGAGCTGTATAACAAATTATAATTAAATATTAGAATATATTCTAATGTTTAAATTAATACATTCGGACGCATAACTAGCGGTATTCTTTTACTTTTATATTGTGTTAGCAGTGCGTTGTTTTAGTGCCATTTCATCAGTGATTGTTGCACAGTTTACAAGAAGTTGCGCTAATGTTAGCATATGTATCAGATCGCAAATAAAACTAGGTGGCTCCGTGGGATGAGAGCGTAGGGGAAATGAGAAGCCTGTGAGCGAGTTGGGGGGCGGTGCTAAACATTCAAACATTGCAGAAACGGGTATAGCGCCTTTAACCCCACTTTGCCCAAAGCCCCCACTGAAAGATCAAGGCTATGCTCACACTCAGAGCAGCCGTCCTCCTGTGGACTCACCACCTGCAGAGGGTCAGTGAGGGGCTGGTGCTATGAGACTTGGGTGGCATCTCTGATTGCCACCCCCCTGACCCAGAAATGGATTAAAGGGTAGAAAATGGATGGATGGATGGATGGATTTATGTTTGAAGCCTGAAATGTGGCAAAATGTTGAAAGGTAAAGGGGGCCGAATACTTTCGCAAGGCACTGTACCACACCGAGACAGACGGGTACAGCTGCGGTCCCGCGGATCACAAAGCAAACTGTGTCAAAGCAATGCTCTGAACTACATCATGGATCCATAATAATAACACGCACCACGTCTCTGAAGCCTCAGTGAACGCCACACGCTGCGGCCTCTTTGGGAGCGAACGTCACCCCACACGGAACCAACACACGCATTAAAAATTGAATGACTCGCACGCGCTTCGGAGCTTCCTCCCGTTCCGCACAAACTTGCGCGCGGGTGTTTCATGTTGTTTTCTTTCATTGTGGCGCCGCTTTGCCCGACAGCTACCCTCGCTCGCAAGTGAGCTCCAGACCTCACTTGAGCACGAGGGTGGGTTTTAAGGGTGTGAGGGCCCTCGTCTCTGCTCCCCAAGTATTGGGACACCCTACAACCCCCGCGGGCACGCGCAAAATGTAGGACAAGGGTGCTTTTTAAGGGCAAGGGTGAGAATTGGGACGGAGCAAAAATGTTTCTTGAGTAGGGCGTTGACTCATCAAGTAATTTTTTCCATTTCATTGTGTTGAATAATTTGATACATGGATTAATTCTTGGACTGTTTCAGTACAAAGATGTATTTTCACATAGACTTGACTTGGGATGGCTGAAGCAGGCTACACCAAGCCTGGTTTACAAATAGGGTGGGCCAGCACTTTTCATATAAAGCTGGTCTTTTAGAGCTATTCATATTCCTATATCTTCATATAGAGTCTGCCCCACACAAGCTGGACCATGTGAAAACGTCTAAAGATAGACTGGTGTTCTGTCAAGTTGGTGTTGGGCATTGGTCATTCCAGCATGGGGTTTCCAGTAGCCAACTTGACATCCACTTGTCCATCAGACGTCGTTTAATATTTATATTACTAACCAACAGACAAGTGGTTAATATAGTGTGTCCGAATATTTAGTTTAGACACACTAATGTAAAATTGTATTAATTGTGTATAAAAAAAAAGTGAAATCTTTTTTCTTCTTTCTCCGTTACTAAGGATATATATCAATATTAGTTTGACGTTCTGTCAGCAGAAGTTATACTGGGCTTTGATGTGGACGTAGATACATCTAAACTGGAAGTAAAAAAATTTGGGGAAACTATTGCTGCCCCTGGAAGACCACAATACTGTTTAATGCTAACAACAAAACTGTCCTTTGTTTCTATAAATATGGAACATGTGACGTGTTCCTGCACATAAACATGCATGGAAAAAACGAACATATCCAACCCATAGTAAGCAGCTGTAGAGTAAGTGTGCGCCAGACCAACTCGACGGAGCAGATCAACAAGAGAGAACACCGGCATAATTGGTCTGCCTTCTGTGTGAATGAATGAGAGAGTTGTCTCCCCTACAGAGTACCACTACCATTGTTATTTATGGGACAAACAATAAAAAAAACTTTCTATTAAAATTAGACTTAAAATATCCTTTTTGGTCTGCAAAATAGTAATATTTTTCCATTTATTTAGTGAAGTTGCTAATCTGGACCTTTGAACTCCAAAGAAACAGCCTAGATATCTTACCAAAATGACTTGAACCGGACTGTGGTGACGAAAAAAATGGGGATGAGCTGAGAGTAAAAGGGAATACACCAGTGTTTGTGATGGAGGGGCGGAAACTGTTCCTGTTCAAAAGACAAAAGGAACCATATTTAATAGTGGCATAGTAGTAATAGTTCAGCTCATTTTCTATTGACCGAGTACCTTGTAGTGCTGATGCCGGCGGAGATGGAAGTCACTGGAGAGAACCACATGCAGCGCTGAGGTTTACAGTGCTGGACTCTGTGGCCGAGCATTTCCTCCTCATCATTCACAGATTGAGCACTGAGTGGGCCAAAACAACTTACCATTATAAATCTAAATAAAATGTGATTGAATTCAGAAAGTACATCAGTTGTTATTAAGAATATTGTTAATAAAAACCTATCATGTAGGACTGGGCGATATGGAGAAAAAAACCATTTTGAAATATCTCAAGATGCAAAAAAGTATTTAGTCAGCCACCGATTGTGCAAGTTATCCCACTTAAAATAATGACAGAGGTCTGTAATTTTCATCATAGGTACACTTCAACTGTGAGAGACAGAATGTGAAAAAAAAACAGGAATTCACTAGAGCTGAAACGATTAATCTAATAACTCGAATAATTCGAATATTAAAAATATTTGAGGAATTTAAGCAGCCTCGAGTATTCGTATATGGTAGTTTATTTGCGGCATTTTGTCTTGTTTTCTCCATAGACTTTTCTGACGTTTCGCAGGGATTCTTTTTGTGTTGCGCAACATGTTTACGTCACGTGCCCTGCTCTACACAGCAGCGGTCTGCTTGGTCTGCATGCATCGCTAATGTTTGTAAAACTTTTTCGCGGACAATACATTGATCTATTATTATATCAATGGAGGACGACGGAGAAGGCACTGGCAAAGACAGGAGAAAGCATCTAAAGTGTGGGAACACTTCACTCTGAACACTTAACACGACTAGTTAGCACACAGTGCTAAGTGGAGCTAGCCTCTCATGTCAACACCAGATGCTGCCGCAGCTGAGAGGGGCATCGAGGGAAGACCTGTGACGAGGTAAGTCAACTTTCATGTTATGGTGTAAAGCGCACGTTGTGAAAGTAAAATGTTGATGATTATGATAACACAGAGGGGTTTTCCCTCGAACAGTCACAAACTGCCAAAGCGGTTAAAAACTATCAATGTTGCCGCCTGTCGCATAGTTAGCTTTTCATTTGTTAACGCAGTGATGAAGCAGGAATGTATTAGGGACTGATTACCTGTCTTTTACATGATGAGACATGTATTATGAATGTTTTACTTAATTTGACATTCACTACAATCCTAGTGCCAATGGGTATTATACTATTCCACTAAAGTTATTTGAACTCCTTACATAATATGTCTGTGTGAACACTGTGGACCAAGATCCATCAGCAGTTACACAACTGTAGGAATAAGGAGCACAGCCTGAAGTTCCTGCTGTGGAAACACGGCTTAAGTTGGTGTGTTTTGGCCTCAAAATAAAGTTGGATTCTTTAATAACAGTTTCAAGTGTTATTGGACAGAATGGGTCAGAAGAGAAGGTAAGTTTGTGTAAGCTCTCAGTCGTACAGGGATAAGTCAAAGCAAAGAAAGGTTTCTCAACAATCATCTGTATTCTTAGCAGGTTTTCCCGACGTTTCATTCTTAATCCAAGGAACTTTTTCAAGGGAATCAAAGCTCAGACCGCGTGTTGGAGATTTATAACCTGTGGGTATGGTTAGCCACAAACAAATGTTTGTCTCGTGCCAGAATTTTAACCTGTGTTGTTTACGGTGTGGTTGGTTGCTGTACATCTATGTATGTCTCATGCAACACCTGTCCATAGGACAGGTGTTGCAAATTAGCAGTTTTGCTATAACACTGGAAACAATGTATCTGGTTTGTCCAATGCAGTTGATATGTCCATATCAAATAAACTAATAATAATAATCTCCACCTCAAGGCCATCTCCCTTCCACATCTTCACAAACCTTAGGGTTAGGGTTAGCATGAGAGGTTAGCATCAGACACAGGTTGTAAATCTCTAAAGGCGTGGTTTGAACTTTCATTCCCTTTGAAAAAGTTCTTTGGATTAAGGACAAAACGTCGGGAAAACCTGCTAAGAAGTACAAATGATGGGTGAGAAACCTTAATTCGCTTAGAACAGAAGGTAGTTATCCGCCATAGGAAACGCATCGGTTCAGCGAATCCGGCTCTTACTCTCCCTCTCCGTTTTGCACAGTCACAGGAGTTCTTATATTGCAAAGTAATGCCTCAACTCTATAATCTGGGTTTTGTTTTTAGCAGCGTATAAAGTTTACAGTCTCTTGTATCAAGCCACGTTCAAAAGCGACAAAAGGTGCCACGTCAACTGCTGTATGAGATGCCACGGACTCTAATGCAACACCACCTGCGCTTCTGTCATATCATGAACCGCGTTTAGAAAAGTTTGTTTCCTTCAAGCATGTTTACATCTTTGCTGCTAGCTAAGCGGCCACCACTGTGTAGAATGAGCATGGGAATGAGACGGACGCGAGGGGGTGATATATACCATATTTCAAAATTAGGGCTGTCAAACAATTAAAAATGTTAATCAAGTTAATTACAGCTTAAAAATTAATTAAACGTAATTAATTGCATTTCTAACTATCTGCAAAATTATGCCATATTTATTTATTTATTTATTTTTGTAAATGGCTGTTTGAATGGAAAGTAAAATTACAGTGTACATATGTACTGTATGTTTATTATAACAATAAATCCACATAAAATGGCATTAACATTATTAAAATTCTGTCTTTCTGTAGTAGACTCAAACCAAAACAATTGTTTGTTATAGAAGAGGGACATTAATCTGTTTGATTTGCACACACCATTTTACCAATATGAACTGGTAGTGGAAGCTTTAATTTAGCGAGTCCGCTTCGGGAGAAGACACGGAGGAGACTGCTCCATAGTCCAGCTTCCATTTAAAAATGTATTGCGTGCACAGGTTACGCAAAGACACACTCACAACAAGAAGAGAATGGTTCTGTGCGTGTATGGTCTTGGATATGACGTTACAGCGGCGCCGTTCGCCGAGATCACAGCCGCTGGAGGTTGGATCTGCTGTCCAGAGCGCCTGCAGCTCAGCTCGCAGAGTTCATACAGGAAACAACAGCATGTGTCTGCAGTACTTCTGAGTGTTATTATGAGATGTATGGGCAATTTGGTACATGCGTCAATCGCATAATTTTTTTTAACGCGATTAATGAAAACATTTATTAACGTGCGTTAACGCGATCATTTTGAAAGCCCTTGTCAAAATGCATAATGAGCTTAAAGAATAGCAGGCCCTTCATGGCCAAAACGCATAGCATCCCTGTACATTCAAGGATATTAATTTAAATTAAGGGTTCCTCAAATTTTTCCTCTTGTCAAACATCTGGATATATTGTAAATATTGACATATCGCCCACCCCGACTATCATGTATGTATTTAAGGGAAATTGATAATTATTTACAGTTAGTTTAATAACTTAAATTGATGGCTACAGTGACCTAGTGTATTATGAATCATAACATAACGAGTGTAACAGCAGTCTTACAAAAATAGACCAGAAATCTTACATTTCATGTGTTGCAGTTGTAAGTGAAACAAAAGCAGGAGGCGACCAGCTACAAGACTCCGCCCCTCGAACCTAAAATGCATAAAGACATTAAAACGGTGAAGTAATACTGCTTATCAAGCTTTGCACAAGTACCGAAATAATAAGTGGAACTAACTTTTTTTCTTGTTAAAGATGAAGGGTCCTCATCATTGCCTGGAAATAAAAACATGAAAATATAGCACATTATAAAGAAATATTAAAACTAAACATTCAAATATTCTTACATTTTCTGATTTGTCCTTTCGATTTCCTGTCAACAGTCCGCTCAGTCTTCTTCCGTCTCAAAGCTCTCTTACAGCTAAAAAAAACAAAAAAAACAATTGTTTTCATTATTATTATTATTGTAAAAAGTCAACAAATCAAAGCATAATATGTTTAAAACTGAATAAAATATGTTGGACGAGTAATGCCTAAAATAAACCTTAATAAACTGACATACTTATGACCAGTTTTAAATTGAGAGATTCTTCTGCAGTAGCTCTCCACTTCAGGCTCCACGCACCTCCTCCTCACAGGAACCTGAGGACATCATACATATCTTAATAAATTCAGGATCCAAAACACAAAACTCCAAAAATGGTGCCACTGACCTGAACACAGCTCAGATGACCGTCCCATCTGTAAACATTGGTGAAAGGTCTTCTATCGACAGGACATGAAGGAGACACCTGCAGCTGAAATTGTATTAATTAATGGTTACATTACAAATAATCCATAACAATATAAGGGGTGTGATGATTCAGAAATGTAACATTTGATATAGGAATCATTGATCAATTACTCTCCAATAATGCGTGTTGCTTCAGTCGCATCGACATGTCTCTTTCTTCCAAACGTCTGGTTTCCATGGTGACACTTTCACTCAACTTACCTAAAAACTGGCCTGGCACCACCTAATGCCTCTGCTCAATCTCACTTTACTGCAGCTACCAGGTCAGGTGCTGTAACGCAGGCAGCTCGACAACCGGGAAGTACAATTGGCAGCTGTTCAGCAATGCATTAGAGAACAAGATTGAGACAGATGTAGACCAAGCCATACATTCTGCGCAAAACACTGAAACTGACTTAAAGCAAGAACAAAGATGAAGTTTGAAGGGTTTGAAAGATATTATTGCCCTGCTTCTTGACTTTTACACATATGCATCATGTGCAATAGGTCAATAAAGTGCTACATTATTTCAAGCCAACTTGTGTAATTTTTAGAGCTGCTCCATATGAAAAAACATGTCAACTAACAACAAATGTGACCTTTTTGAGAATATTTACCTCCACCATGTTTTTTGAAGGCCATGAGAGGAGTGCTCTCCGTGTAAATGCGCCATCTTGAAAAACAGTGGTGGATAAGGGACAAAAAGGATGCGAGAATCGCGTTTTTCGTTTCACATGAGCTACTGATATCGTTGCTTTCACCGTGCCTTCACAAGTTGGAAGAAGAAACCATGGATGGCCAGTTATATAAAAGAACCATGGAGGACCACAGTTATGTAAAAAAAACCATGGAGGACAACAGTTATGTAAAAGAACCATGGAGGACCACAGTTATGTAAAAGAACCATGGAGGACCACAGTTATGTAAAGAACGATCCGAACAACAGAAAAATTATTTAGAAAAATAATTATGCAGAAGTCCAGCGTCATAGCAGCAAAGTGTCAACATCGCAAACCACATGCACTGAAAGACAGCGTTAACACAACAGGAGGCACATTGTGTAGTTTGTACACAACAGACTCACACGTGAGTCCGAGCGCAGTCCAACTACTATCACAAGTTTCAACTAAACTTATTCAGGGAAAAAGCCTCAAATAAAACACAGAATCCCCACAAAACAATCGCCAGTAGGGATGTAAAAAACGATGAATTTTCATGACTGACCAACGAGCCTCATTAACCGGTTTAAACCGGTTAACTGCGTAGTTTAAAATAGTCCACGTTCTTTAACAGCCATTTCGAGCCGCGTACTTTCCATAAGTGCAACGCAGGTTCTACTGGATCAGAGCGGAGACAGCGGCGACAAAACCCGCAGCAGCTTCGGCACCTTTGCGTGCGTGCGTTCGTGCGTGCGGAGTTTACCGATACATTGCCGCACACAGCTAGATACGGACCCGCTCGTCACATCGTGCAAATAGGGCTTAAAATAGCGTTATGATAAGACCTCCCCTCTCCCCTTTTTCTCTTTTTTAACCGACAGCTTTGACCGGTAAACGCTGTGACGGTCAACCACCGGTTAAAAGGTCACCGATTTAGATCCCTAATCGCCAGAATACTTTATCAGCAGCGTGTGTGAATGTCATGTTTTCTTACCATGATGCAGATGCTGTGGCTAATGCTAATAATAAGAACATGAGCTTTTAGCCATGTCCTGCCTCTGTATATCTCCTGCTTCTTTGATCATTGTAGTTTTAAACTCCCGCAGACATTATTTCTCCATGCATCTCTTCTCTTCACACCGCGTTTGTAAAACTATATGTTATAATAGATCCACGGAAAAACTCAGTAGAGCCTCTGTGCAGGGTGCTGTCTGAATGCGGTCTTGTTTACAAGTCGCCTCCACGCAACTGTCAAGTGCACGAGACGTTTGGAGAGATTTATCAAACTAAGTATTCTTTCCTTGGCAGTCTGGTGAATGACTGACAGTTGAGGAGCACTGTCTTTGTCTGTCTTTGTACACTCGCTGGTAACGTTTGCGGTTGCGCTGGACCTACGTAGCCACAGTTGCTGGTGCACTGGAGTGCACCCCCCCGCGTAGTTTAAGACAATGTTGTAATCCTACACCCAACCACGTGATGGCAAACTCACAAGAGATGCCTGGGACACTAAAGCGGTCCCATATACGCTAGCTACTTTCTCCTCTTCAGAACAAAAACATTAGCAAACCAAGCTGTTTGAGATCATTACAAGCGTTTCTACCGTAGGTTTATGTGACAGTTCTAAACTCATCGTTTCAACTCATTTAACTTTGATGATGTGAATAAAGATACAGTTCTTGTTGGAAACAGTTATTATTTAAGTGTGTTCAGCACAAACAGCAAAACAATAAGTGGTAAATATCTGAGACAAACATGAACTATTTACAAGTGCAGAAGGAACGCAACAGACGCGATATACGAGTGCAGATCCAAACTAAGACAGGAACAGTGAAAAACAAACGACTGCACAGTTTATACGTTTATATATATATATATATATATATATATATATATATATATATATATATTGGATATGCAACAGGACTCTAGTCCATGGGTGGCACGTATATCAGGCTGTGCCATGAGCCCAAACTGCTTTTCTTTCGGTTCCTTCGAAGCACGGAGCACTGTGCTCCGAAGTGCCTCGTCCATGTTCTCTGCAGCCGCCCCATGTTTCCCAGAAAGTAATCACACACATGCATGTTCTCCCCGTGTTTGCGTAGGTTTCCTCCGGGTGCTCCGGTTTCCCCTACCACTAAAAACATGTACAATAGGTCTGGAATGCGCCTCCTGTACTGGTGACCCCACTCCCATCTCTGTGTGGAGTGAGAGACAAATTCCCACAACAGTTGTAAACAGCTTTGTGACTCTGGTCTGTGAAAGGCGATATATAAATAAAGATTACTTACTCACTCAATTACAAACAACATTACCTTGTCGTGCAACAGCAATTGAGTACCCCAGCTTTAATTTGGCGAGTTTAGTTGCGCTTCGGGAGCAGACACTGACAAGACACGAACACTTTCTGGGGCTCTTTAGTCCATCTTCAGTGGTGCATTTATTGTGTGCACAGGTTACGCAGACACGCGTACAATAAGCAGAAGGCCTACCTGTTCTGTCAACATCTCACACACGCATGTGTCCACGGCATTCTGAGTGTTTATTATGGGATGCATGAGTGGGTCATATGGTACATGTGTCAAATGTGTAATTTTCAATTCATGAAAAAATGTCATTAATGTGCAATAACGCGATAATTGACAACCCTATCCAATATATCTAATTCAGTAACAATGAATTGTTTCAGCTTGATTGAAACCACTTTATAACAAATAATCAGTTTATAGAGGCTTTTTATTTTTTTCAATATTGGTAATGAAAAACCAATCAAGCATTGGTGCATCCTTTTCCTTCTGTAGTGTCCATCCTTTCACAGGTTGTCGCTAAATAAAACTTTATCCTGCAGTTACAATCATGTGAAAAGTGTTTATAAACACCATAGCTCTGTTACACCTGTCACAGTTCTTCAGTTTGATGACTTGTTAAGTTACTACAGTATTATTTGCACATAGAAATGTAGTGTTTCTAAGTAACTTTACTCCAGCTATATTCATATCTCATGACTGTTTTCACACACAACATTTTGTGGTCTCACCTCGGCCCATGTGAGAAGGCAGCGGAGGCAGAAGACATGGCAGCAGCTGTCGGGCATTGCCAGCTCTGCCCCCGAAAGGACACCGAGGCAGATGGGACACTTCTCTGCATCCTCTGGGTCCGTCCCGTCTGGAGGGCCAAGACCACCACCACCTGTCCACAGACAATATCAGTCAATAAAGGCTCTTATAAGGAAGAAGTGATAGTATCGCATAAGTGGGTTGGGGGAAGAAGGGAGGAAGCGTGAGCTGATAGACAGATAAATGGCAGAATCAAATAGAGGAGTTGAGAAAGCATCCTTCACAGGCCTTGTCATCACGCTTTGTCAATCCCTTGCCACTTCCCCAATGTCAAAAGTTACTTTACCAAATATTTCTCGATGCAATGAGTTAGTCAGAGTTTGGCGATAAAGTGGCACTCTCTCTGCCCAAAAAGTCAAACAATGACTCACAGGTAGGGTTGGGCGATATTTTTTTTGTACCGGTATACCGGTATAAGTAAATTAAATGATAAGAAAATGCCTTATACCGGTGAAAACGATCATTTAACACTGAAAACAGCGAGCGGAAGACACGTTTGTGTGCGGCGCACTTTGATGACGCATCTGCGCGGCACGTGTAGCAGAGCGGCGTGCAGGGACAACAACAACAGAGCAGAGAGCAAACATGGCTGAGGGCGGCGGTGAAGACCATGGTGAAGACATGCAGATTGTAGAAGACATTGTGCCAAAACGCGGAGCTACCTCAAACATATGGGAGTAGTTTGGGAACTAGATAAAAAGAAGCAATTGTGTGTAACTATCGACAGTGGATCTAATGTTGTGAAAGCAGCTTCCCTAAACAACTGGACTCGAGTGGCTTGCTTCGGACACTCGCTCTCTCTCTCATAGTGCCATTGGTAAGCTTTATTTACTGTTTACTGTCATTCATTTTACTTCAATGCATGTGTTTGTCTACATTGCAATATAATTACAAATAAGTTATAATTACATAATTATAGAAACGCAAAAGGATACAAAAAATATATACAGTATTTGATCATTTTGACTATATTGGGATTAGGAAACATAAGCCAAAGTGATCAAATAATTATTTGATAATGCTACACTTTTTATATTACAAAGGACAAACTTTTATATATTTTACAAATTACAAATGTTCACCTTTATTACATGTTGCCTGCAATTTTCAGTATGTACAAAACAGAATTCTCTACAATTCAGTTTTGTTAATACATTTTATATACAATAGCTGTATTACACATTTTGCTGCCAATAAATCAGTAAATGCACTTTGAGGCAAGTGTGTTTAAAATTATCAGTGCTAAGTTTTTATAGCTTTTATATGAGGCTTTGTTAAAATTATATCGTCATATCGTGATACATACCAACAAAAATCGTGATACATGCTGAGGCCCATATCGCCCAACCCTACTCACAGGGCTCTTGAGTTTGCAAAATATATAAAGACGCCTGTTGTGGAGTGTTCCGTTTAATTTGTTAACAACATTTGCACTTCACTGGAGGAGACCCGCACTTGCAACAAGCTGGGGATGGTCCTGTACGTGCGTCCATGGTCCGTGCTACGACTGTGCATTCGCTGAGCTGTTATGAAAGCAAGTCACAGGAACCGGTGTCATTACAAAGCGGCTGCAGCTGCCCCGGGTCAGAACGCAAGATCTCGTGCCACACATTTAACAGAAATGACATTTCCGGCAGGAACAAGACGGAAATCGCAGATCTTCTGAAGATTCTCCTCATCCCTTTTAGAACCCGATTCATTTCATTGGTCAAGAGAATTGACCAATGAAGAAAAGTGGTCAAAAAAAGAAAAACAGACGTGTCCGCTCCCAGCTCTAGGAGGTAGATATGTGGGAATGCGTTCCCAGCCTGAATGGGTTATAGTAATACATGACTTGCCCGATAGGGCAACTTGCTAAGACAACGCATTTGTCCGCCCCAAATCGCTAGTTGCCCCGGGGAAGCTGTCAATCGTTAAAGAAGCTATACCCGATTTATTTTCTAATGAGTTCATAAAAATGTGTATTACTACTAGAGCTGGGCGATAAAAAGATAACGATATATATCACGATAGACACGTGTTCAAAATCAATAGAAAACGGGGGTCGATAGAATGTTCGATAGTTTTACTTCACACAGAAATTAAAGCCAAGTCACAAGCGCGGCATTCTGGGGGATGTAGGCATAGGCTTCCCAACCTATCAATGCCGTGTCAATGGTTATGCATGTCCGTGCGAGGCATAGCATGTGCGGTGCGGGAGAGGCAGTGGACACGCAGACCCGATGCATGCAGCGAAAGCAAGAGATGAACTTTTTCCTCTGTGCGGCTATCAGAGAGCGGCCGCACGGAGCCATCATGGGGGACACAAAACAGGAGATGAACCAGGACTAAACCAGGATTACTCCAGGACTAACTATGGGGGAGACTGCTTGTGAACATATTCCTCTAGCCTCATTCCCCGTGACTGTAAACAAGGCTGCAAATGTGTGTTAGCAGACACAACAAACATAGCTTCGTGGGAGGAGAGCGTAGGGGAAATGAGAAGCCTGCGAGCGAGTTGAGGGGCAGTCCTAAACATTCAAACTGAAAAAAACCTTGCAGAAACTGGTGCAGCTCCTTTAATGTCAAGCCCTGCTAGAGACTGGGCCAAGGAGGTACAGAGGTCTACAGTACAGTACAAGATGTTTCAGAAATAAGAGTGGACTATAAACAGTTATTACATATTATAAGTATGCTTGAGAATGAGATCATGTTTGAACATTCCTAATAGCAGTGCAAGTCATGAGGATAAAAAAATCTCACCAGTTCCAGCACCAGTCATGTCTGGCCCTGTTCTCCCACCAGCTGCACAACAGAAACACAAATGAGTTGGAAATTAGAATAAATACAATCTCTCCCACAGACTTAAAATTAGGTCACTTCTAGATTCAATAAGTCATTGTCACACAAAAAACGAAATTATATTTTGAGCATCATCGTGATAATAGCAGATATTAGAGCAATAGTTGGCAGGAAGTTAATAGACAGAGCCACTTATACACTAAACGAAACAAATAAACTATCTGACCAACAAGTCAAAAATGTAAATTTCAGATAATTAACTATAATCATAGACTTAACTGAATTATAGAAAAAGTAGGGAGAAAATCAGTTGTAGTTATTATGAACGACGTTAGCTAACAATACAACGGGGTACAGGCTCGAACCAAGGTGTCAATAGAGGTTTAACTGCATTGGCACGGTTGTATCACAGATTGCATTAGTTGAAGAATAACCTCCATCGCATGAAATTATAGACATGCATCAGACCAATACGTCGGGTCATCACTGACTTGAAATCCACAGCAGTTTAAGATGCATGTAAAACGAACATTCAACAAGGCTAGTTCAAAAATGATTGTGCAAGGTGCAATTAGGCCGAGTGTAAACAACAAACTCACATCGGCTCCAACTGTGGGAATAATTAGTTTTGTTCAGTGAAGTTCGGCCTGGAGACTGGGATCAGAAAATAGCAGGAGATAGTGCCAACGCGTCGGTGTCAACAGGGCTGTTCGTGCTTAACGGAGCACTCGGCGCTCAAGTGCTAGCTACATGCTTGCTAACATCTAGCTAAATAGCTGTTGCTAACTCGACAGTAAACAAGGCTAAATTCTGTTTAATATTAGCTACACTGTGTGCACTGAAGGTCATAAGCCAGCTAGCGTGCTAACAGAAGATTTAGCATAGAGCTAACAGCTGCCTGCCTCGCTTTAACGTTAGCGGTTGGCCTTTTAGCATTCAGTTTGTTAGCATTTAGCGCTAGTAAGCTACAATGAACTATTTTTTTTACTTACCTCAAAATGTTCTCTGCCGTTTCGTTGCACAAACAAAAAGGGTGACTCGGATAGTTATGAAATCCCACGGACTCTAAAATGTATTTGTATTTAGCAAAAAAATGAAGCGTAGCTTTGGAAAAAGTCCGAGCCACATGTCTCGTAGAGAATCCGAGTCTATGGAAGTGGCGTCGCGCACTGGTATTACACGGCATTACAGTGTAATGCTAACAAAAGTGTTCCAGGTACCAAGTTCATTTTCCTAATTTGTCCCGTCAGTCTATGATCAGAACATACACGGGTAGAGTTTATACAACGATTAGAAGGTTCCTCCGTGGTTGCATTATGGAGTGTCCTCCAATAATTACTGCAACATCCAAAAAATATTTAGTCTTAAAACGTTTCTTGATTTTCTTCTTTTTAAACAAATATATATTTGAATTATAAATTCTATTTCAATCGAGATGGGGCATATTTTATATCTGTTTATAATTGAGAGTACAAATACATTTAACACATTTTACATGGGAAAGCACAGTTGGTACTTTTCACTGAGACTATTCCCTTGACTGTCAAATAAGTGTCAGCCACAAGTGCAGCAGCAGTCTACAACTACAAGTCTTATTTTCTAAGGGAAGGTTGACAAATATTTTCAGGAATATTCACAAAAATTTAATAACAATGCAGGGACTCACCCAAAATGTTCAGTGTTTTATTTAAAAACTATAAACAGTCACCAAAGTAAATAAAGCCAATCTCTAACAGACTGTTAGGTCTATAGTCACACATCCTACGGACACTGCAGATCTGGGGGATCGACCCGGGTCGGCGCAAACGGGAGTCAGTCAATTGAATGTTGTACAACACCGTAAGGACATACGTTTCCAGGTACAGGAATGTGGCAATGAATTAAGAATGAAAAAAAAAAAAGAAATAGTACAATAAAAACTCCACACTCAAACAGGATAGAAAAAAATGTAGTGAAGAAAAGATCATACCTGCTGCATGTAAAGCAAAAGGGACAAGGGAGAAGTCTTGTATAAAATTCCATATATTTAAACCAATTATACAAATACAAAAAAACTTGTTCAGTACGCACACTTTGTCCGTACAAAGACATTACACTTATAGAGTCGTATATGTTAAATCATGTGCGTTTTGAAATAGTGGGAAGGAGAGTGTGGAAAGTGAAGGGGGCAAGGAGGATACTTTTTGATATTTTTTCTTCTACAAAATGACAAGATATATTATACTCTTTCAGCCAGCAAAATGAGTCTACAAGTCATCAATATTATACAAAAGAGTCACAGTTCCACAAAAAACTGCTTTTTAATCCCAACCCTATGTTTTACAGCAAACAGTACCTTTGCAAGAAGTATTTACATGTATTAAGTACATTCATCCACTGCTGAGTATAGAATCACATTAGATACAAGTGATCAGGGATCTTTAAAAAATTCAAAACAAAATCAAAATAACTATTAGATCCTACCAAAAGTAATGCTTCTATGACTCCACAGCGCTCTCCAGTGGCTGCTCCATTGGGCGTGAAAGAGGATTTTTCTTTATATATATTCACATCATATTTACAAGATTTTTTTTTTATTAATTGTAATGGTATTTATTTCAATAATAAATAAGTGAAAATATATGACTCAAGTAAGAAAAACCAAGCTACCAAATTTCTAAAGAAAAACAACAAGAGAACATTTGTAGTCCATGTCACCAGTCACCAAATGCTCGCTGCACCTCTGAAAGTGTCCTGCTTCAGTCAAAAGTCATGTCCAATTTGATAGAAAAATCAAACCAAAATGTGCTTGGGGTTTTGACTATGTGGGGGAGGGTCCCTCAGGGAAGCAGTCCGAGTAGAGCTCCCCCTTGTAGGCGGCTGGTGGAAGACCCCGTGGCAGTTTGTTTTTGAGTGAAATATGGTTTTGGAAATGGATCGTTGGCAATAAGAGGAGTCTGTTGAGCTTGAGGAGGAGGGGCCAGCAAGTGTGGGTGCCTGGCTTGTCCTGTGTACCTCACTCCAAGTAGTCCACATGTTTCGAGCAGGAGAGAGGAGTAGATCTGTCTTTCAGGGTTGCACCTGCGTTTGTGTCTGCAATGAGCGCGTCAGTTCGTAAAGGCATTTGGCGAGCGTGGTGGAGACCTCCATGTTACTTAGTGCAAGCACAGAAAGGTGATTCTCGTGCTTTTTTACCAACCTAGGAAAAAGTTACAAAAGGACCATTAAGTACAAACAGCAAAACCAATAATTCAACATACTACCTAGAATAAATCTACTAGGACAAAATAAGATTAAGATCAAGAGTTTATTGCATTAACTTTGGCCCTTTGACTTGGCAAACACTTGTTCATTTTTTAAATTTAGAAGCAATTTAGATAAAGTGATATAGTGACATAGTAAAAAGCAAGAATGTGTTTTGAAAGAATTAACCTTTTGAACACAGTTAATTTTTTGGGGGGGAAAAACCTCTTAGGAGTAGAATGTATGCTCTTTCTTCTATTCATTATTATTAAAATTAGAACATTTTAATTATGTTTCATATGAAGGTAGAACAGATTCAAATCATTAGAATGTCAAAGTCTTATACTTTTAAATCTTTTCAGACAAGCAACTTGATGACTGCACCAGAGCAGGACAGCTAAAGCATTGTACCCACTGGGGGTTGGCCCTGGCTCAAAAACGTCCTAAAGCAACTATTCTGGACAGGGATTTTTAAATCACTGACTGATGCATATGGTTCTCTGGTTGTTCCCAATCCAATGTCTGCAATATTTGGCATCCCCCCTGCTTCAAACCTGCCTAAAGGAATGAAGCGGGCTATAGCATTTACCTCACTGTTAGCTCGTAGGCTGGTCTTACTTAACTGGAAAGATTCTCACCCCCGTTCACATGCCCGAGGTGCATACGAGAGGTGCTTTACAACCTCAAAGTAGAAAAGTTGAGGTTTTCTCCAAGAGGCTGTATTATTTTATACTACATGGGACCCTTTTATTAGGTATTTTGACTCTTTGAATCTTCTTAACCCTGAGGATACTTGAACATCTAAACTATCTCTACTTATCTATCTACACTTACATTTCATGTTTATTCTTCTCTGTTCCCTCTCTTTATGCCTTTTTTATTTTTTAATTATTGTTATTATTACTTTTTTAATTTAATTTTATTTATTTTAAATTTTATTTTTGGCCTGTGGGTGGGGTGGGTGGTCAGGGTGGGTGGGGGTTGACAGAACTGAGATTGCATTGACACTGTATTTGTATTAACAACGTCGGTCTTATGTTCAATAAATAAAGTTTGAAAAAAAAAACGTCCTAAAGCATGTGCGCTGACATACTTGCAATACCACCCCAGGCCGGTAAGGGTGGACCCAGAATTAGACTAGATCAAGATTTAAATAAGTATGAAATATCAAAACATTAATAGAAGTAGAAAACGAGTGAAAGTACGCAGTTTGTGTTTGGATGGGGATCTCCATGTTACATAATGCAAAAAGTTAACATAGCAATAAGTCACTGAACAGAATACTTTTCAGTGACAGAAAGTATTCTGTTCAGTGGTCTTTGGTGTTGCGGAGTAGGTACAAAGCATTTTTTCCATTTTTATTTTGTTAATTTCCTCCAAATGCGTTAAAAATCTTCATATTTACACTTTGTGACACTCCGCGTGGTGAGGGGGACAGCAGTGTCTCTGACACAAATGCATCTTGAGTTGAAAATAATCCGCTTCAATTATCAGCAAAAAACATTTCTGAATTATCAATCTGAGGTCATTCTTTGCCCATATCAGCTGGTGGTCAGTATCATGCATTCCTAAATGGAAGTAATTCCAAAAGGTTCACTAATAATATTGCAACACAATTCACATTTTCTAATTTCTTGTTTGTGTGCTGATTTTGCCTTCAGTTTCATGAGAACGTAACAAGTATCACGCTAGAGCAGGGTAGTTGGAATACTTACGTGCGACCACAGTCTGAGTGCTTTGCTATGTTCTTTAACGTTAAGGCAGCAGTGAGCCGTATGTGTTTCGTCACTGGTCCTTCTTTCTCATCCTGCAAGAGAAAATAAACTTGTTTTTACTCTATAAAAAACTGAATCTGGTCCATCCTCACTTGTGGGTTTTATTTTGTAACATAGCCAAGTAAAAATCTCAAATGAAAGAGTACTTTGTCCAGAATGCTTGAGTGATCTACCAAGCATTCTTGGTAGATCTGTTTTTGTTTTCAATGGTCAGAGTAAAAATAATGATTTAGTTGCTAACTTGGGAAAACAAGCTTCACAATATTGGGGTCATCCATCCAAATAATTAAAATAAAAAAGAAGACTGATATTCGCTGTGGAATGTCATGTTTGGGAAACACGATCTGGAGTGTTTCCCACAGTGTACCACTGTGGAGGTACTTACAGTGAAGTCCCTAAAGACAAGGTTTCGAGAGCCGCGTCGCAGAGCCATCAAAGCTGCACTCGGATGATTGACAATAGCTTTTGGTGCTCTTGGTGCGGGAGTGCTAGTTGCCGCTGGTGGAGTCCTACAACAAAAGGAATATTATTACTAGTAAGTTTACATACACTATATCAAAAGACATTTGTAAGAAATTCTGAAGAGGTAAGGTTTGCATGTCTTTTTGTGGCCGTATCTTATTACCTGGGAGAGCAGTATTAATGTAATAAACCACTGAACTCTAACTGGATTTCACTCACATCCATCCATCCATCCATTTTCTACCCTTTAATCCATTTCTGGGTCAGGGGGGTGGCAGTCAGAGATGCCACCCAAGTCTCATAGCACCAGCCCCTCACTGACCCTCTGCAGGTGGTGAGTCCACAGGAGGACGGCTGCTCTCTGAGTGTGAGCATAGCCTTGATCTTTCAGTGGGGGCTTTGGGCAAAGTGGGGTTAAGTGTCTTGCCCAAGGACACAACGACAGCAGTCATCAGTGGGAGTCGGTGCAGAGGTGAGAATTGAACCCACGACCTTCTGGCCTTAAGCCAATGCTCTACAAACTGAGCTACTGTCGCCCCCTACATACACTGTCACTCCCATACATGGATGAAAACCGAGTGGCATTCAAGCATTTATGGACTAACTTTTATTTTTAGAAGCTTTGTATTGACGGTCACCGATTTTTTAGGGATGTAAATCGGTGACCGTTTAACCGGTGGTTGACCGTCACAGCGTTAACCGGTCAAAGATGTCGGTTAAAAAAGGGAAAAAGGGGAGATCTCTTCATAACGCTATTTTAAGCCCTATTCGCATGATGTGACGAGGGGGTCCGTATCTAGCTGTGTGCGCCAATGTATCAGTAAACTCCGGGCCGACTCTCACGCCGCACGTGCCACTATGCACGCACATACGCGCGCACAGACACACACACACTTCCCCCCCTCCATTGATACGAAACATCCACACGCATCATCTCTCCCCTCTGTTACCGCCTGCTAGTTGCACACTGGTGCGGGTCAGAACTACATTGAGCTTACATTTACACACACATACACACATGTACACACATACATGTATTGTACACACACACATACTGGTGTGTTGCGCTCCTCTGTGTCACGCAGCCCAAAGGAATCCTCGCAAATACACGGCTCCAGTCAAACCACATGAAACATGTTTGTGCTGCTGGTCCTTGTCATTAGATCAGCTCCACACACATCACTTTTAAACTTTAGCGGAGACCTGAGAGACGCGGCGCGTCACTCGCTGCTCTGACTAGGGATGTGAAAAACTATGAATTTTCATGACCGACCACCGAGCCTCATTAACCGGTTGAAACCGGTTAACCGCATAGTTTAAAATATTAGACGTTCTTTGAAATAACAGCCATTTCGAGCCACGTACTTCTCGAAAGTGCAGCTATGCATTCTACTGGATCAGAGCCGAGACAGCGGCAGCAAAACCCGCAACAGCTTCGGCACCTTTGCGCACAGAGAACTGCTTTTTTAATCTTCCCATATTTCTTTAATCTTCCCATATTTCTGTGCTGCGGGTTAAAGCTTTTTAGCAGCAAAAAGCGGCTCATTCACATGGTCAGAGCAGCGAGTGACGAGCCGCGTCTCGCAGGTCTCCGCTAAAGTTTAAATACAAATGATGTGTGTGTGGAGCTGATCTACTGACAAGGACCAGCAGCACAAACATGTTCCATGTGCTTTGACGCTTTGAAGCCGCGTATTTGCGAGGATCCGTTGAGCTGTGTGACACAGAGGAGCGCGACAGACCGGTATGTGTGTGTGTGTATATGTGTGTGTGTGTGTGTGTGTGTGTGTGTGTGTGTGTGTGTGTGTGTGCTTGTATGTGTATGTGTATAAATGTAAGCTCCAATGTAGTTCTGACCCGCACCAGTGTGCAACTTTGGCGGTAACAGAGGGGAGAGATGATGCATGTGGATGTTACGTATCAATGGAGGGGGAGAAGTGTGGGTGTGTCTGTGCGCGCCCATGCGTGTGCATGTGTGCGTGCATATGTGGCGCATGCGGCATGAGAGTCGTCCCGGAGTTTACTGATACATTGGCGCACACAGCTAGATACGGACCCGCTTGTCACACCGTGCAAATAGGGCTTAAAATAGCGTTATTAAGAGACCTCCCCTCTCCCCTTTTTCTCTTTTTTTAACCGACAGCATTGACCGGTTAACACTGTGACGGTCAACCACCGGTTAAACGGTCACCGATTTACATCCCTAGCTCTGACCATGTGAACGAGCCGTCTTTTGCTTAAAAATGCTTTAACCCGCAGCACAGAAGAATGGGAAGATTAAAACAGCAGTTTTCTGTGCGCAAAGGTGCCTAAGCTGTTGTGGGTTTTGGCGCCGATGTCTCGGCTCTGATCCAGTAGAACGCAGAGCTGCACTTATGGAAAGTACGCAGCTCGAAATGGCTGTTATTTCAAAGAACGTGAACTATTTTAAACTACACGGTTAACCGGTTAATGAGGCTCGGTGGTCGGTCATGAAAATTCATAGTTTTTTAAATCCCTAGTCTCAAACAGAGGAAAATATTCCCTTTTTGGTGCTATTTGGGACTCTTAAAACACATTAAAGTTTGGGGCAAGCATTGTAACTTAAATTTGGGATAAGATGAGGGGTAGGCAAGCCTCCGGCGGGACTAAATACCAGGATTTAGTGAGCTTCAAAATTATATACATTTTAACTTCAGCTTCTCGTGCTACATCGGTTATATGTACCTTAAAATATAAAAAAAAGGTACACATAAGTGAAATGCCGTTTATTCAACTGCGTTCTATTTATGTACAAAGTTTTAACTCCTTGTCAAATGTAACTGATGAGACAAACAGGTGTGCTCAAAAGAGTACTGACATTTTTATAATGTTCTATTTTTTACTATATATGATTTTTACTGTTCCTTCTTGTTTTGTAAACCAAGTTGTATTGTGTATAAACTGCTGCAAACAACTATATCATAAACATTAATGGTGTTTGTTACTCTTGTCCTACTCTCCTCAGGCAACTGTAGCAAGCACAGCCAAAATATACAGGCACTCACTGAGAGGAAGTCTGATTAGGACTTAGTGCCCTCTGCTCCTCTAGCTTCAATCCGGCCAGTAAAGCCTCCCGAGAACAATGCTTGTCCTGAAAGGAAAAAAATGTACATCTTCAGTTCCTGTCTCTGCATGGGAAAATTTATGCAGCCACGATTTGGTTGTACCTGTAGATGTGTGACGAAGGAGAGTCTTTGCCGGGGCAGGGGGTCGCATCCCTCCCACTGACAGTGACCACCGTAGGCCTCCTTGCTTCCGTGTTGTGTGGCTGCGTGGTAGAAGACCTGGCTCGGCGTCTCAAACCACCTACAGAGAAACGCAAAAGGAAAAGATAAGTGCACGTACATATATGCCAAATAATATGTAATGTTTTCAACTTCAAAGGCAACTCAACGGTATCGGCAAGGTTTCTGTGCTATTATTTGTCATACAGAACGGAGACAACATGAAAAATAATGGTATAAAACATTATGGTTACAACATCTCTACAAAATTAGAGTCAAAGTATTTTAAATGTTTTTTTTAAGCAAAACCACAAAACATGCAAAACATTAGGATTAGACTGCAGAGTTCTTTCTTGCCATACCTTTTGCAGGATTGCCAAAGACATTTGAAGTTTTGCCCTGGTTTCCTGCTTGGTTCCGTGGCTGGAGGATTGGGCTGAGGACTGGACACTGGAGCCGGCTGGGAAACAGGAGGAGGTGATGGTGTTGCTGTGGGCTGTTAAGAAGCATAGACATAAAATACATAATGAGAACAGTATTTACTTCCTATATACTGGACACTTTATATGAAAATATTATTGTAGGCAGTCCGGAACAGTTAGTTACCAGTATCAAAAAGATAAATAGCATTTCAGACCAGAAGTAATTTAAGCTTGCGCTCTACTGATCAAGCAGATGTTGAATGATTAAATACGACCTCAAATGACTTAAGACGCACTTGCAACGGACAGGGTTTTTTCACTTATGTTTACAAACTCAAAGCCGATTTTGGGGCAATCCATGCCCCCTTGAGGAATTTGTATCCCAACATGCACTGGAACGGCCACCTAGCTCCTTCTATGTTATTACTTAAGACAATTTTCACACACACACTTCTACTTTATATTGACTAATGATACCCTTTTAACGGTTGTGAACATAAAAAGAACCAAAATAATAATAATAAATGAAACCATGCAAGTATATCTCACCTGTGCTGTACTGGTGGTCTGTGGAGCACTACAGGTCCTCTGGGTGGCGCTCTCTATTGCTACTTTGGCTACTGTACTGGGGTCAGTGCCTGCAGGAACAGCCACCATGGTGGAGCTGCTGCCTGCGTTGTTGGGGTCGCTGATAGTGATGATACGCACGCCCACTTTGTTGGGGATCCCGGAACCCGTCCGCTCCTCCTCTGCAGGACGTTTGAGGCAGCGCCCCTCGGAGGAGACCCCGTTCGCATTGGACTGACTCTGGGAGGGAGAGGGGGAGTGTCTTAGAGCAGGCACAGCCCCGACAGGTCCGTTTGAAACAGTTTGGGGTCCATTGGTGAGGGCTTTGGCAGTGTCCAGAGCGGGGACAGTCTTCTCCGAGGAGTCTGCCTCCCCGTTCCCCACAAACTGTTTGGAAGCAATATGATTAGGAATGTTTTTATTAAAATTCAACCCCATGGCGTCCTTTTCAAAGTCGCACACCCCGTTCACTAGAGTCTTTTTGGGTTCAGGGTGCTGGTCTCTCTCCTCTGCGGTCGGGGAGTGTGCCTGCTTTCCGTTAGCAGGATGTCCCACCGAGGCGGGACCATTAACTGTCCCCTGGCTGTTCCCTGAGTGGTATGGAGGTAGATCCAACTCCACGCACTTGCGCCCATTTAGCAGCTTGGTTCCTTCTGTCACTCCGTTACTTTTGGCAGAATCTTCAGCCATAGAATTGTTCTCCATGACTTCGATCTTCCTCTCGTGGATATGCAGTCCAGTGGCATCTTTGGCCTCCTCCTCCCTTTGACAGATGATCTTGTCTCCTCTGAGCGGTGGTTGCTGTGGGACAGCGTCGGATGAGAGAGAGTTTGGTGGGACACTTGGGGCCACTGCTCCTTGGCTTACAGCCACCGCAGCCGATGAACTCGTAAAACCCGTGTTGGGAACCACAGTGAACGCGACCCCCGTGGCTGCACTGGGTGCCTGAATAATAGTTGAAGTCGTCGAAATGATCTGCCCTGGCATTAGCAAAGTTGGGGCTACAGGTGTTTGTATCTGCCCCGGAACAAGCTGAACATTAAGGGGCTGTGGTTGAGGAGACTGGTATATGACTTGTGTACTTGGAGCGATGATACTATTTGGAGGGGGGATTTGTGGGGCGGGTAGGATTAGCTTTCCCCCAGGCGTAGAGGGACCTCTTTTTGGAAGCAGTAGCTGTTTAATTAAGCTGGACTCTGTGGAGGTAGGTTGCGGAGGAGGTCCAATAGGTGGCGCTGGAGATATCTGCGGTCTTTTAGAGAGGGGATGGCTGACATTTTGGTTTGAATGCATATTATTAGGTGAAAGCGGGCCAGAAATGGAAGAGGAGGCTTGCCCTGTTGTCATTTGAATTGTTTGGGGGGTGGGGTTGGCTAAAACTATCTGGTGAATGGCAGGATTGTATGTTTGCGCCTGCTGTGGACTCATTATTACTACACTTTGATTTGGATTGGCTATTGAAGTCGCCGGAGATGGTTTGGGGGCTATGTTTTGAAAGCCAACCCTTGAAATCTGTGTCGTGGGAGCGTTTGGGATAGGTCCAGTGCCATTTCCCATTGAAGATGAGGAAGTTATAGAAGGATCCGTCTGTGGAGCAATTTGGGATTGTTGTTGGATTGGTGAGCACACACCTTGTACCCGTGCTGTGAGGATGTGTCCAGGGGGTACTTGTTGAAATAGTGTCACTGGGGTTCCACTGGGAAGCATGGGAGAGTGCTGTTGTGGCACAGAACAGACAGTAGAAGGTGCTGCAGTTTGAGTGGTTTGAGGACTGTGGTTTTGAGGGATATGAACTCCAATAGGCGGTCGGATGTTTGGGATGGGTTGTTGCAGAGTTGGCTGCGGGTTCTGGATGATCTGAGGAGGTGAAGGCCGTAGAGGAGCGGAGGGCTGGGAGAGGTGAGAGGTGTCCTGTGATGGCGGCGGTCGAGGACACTGTCCTGGTGGTAGACCTGGACAAAAGGAAATATTTATCCACTGTTATTACTCACAGAATTAATTGAGAAAACATGTTGATTGGGAATTAAACCTCTCAATAACAAGTGATGTGAATCCTGCACAAAACAGCAGTAGCCTGACAACTAGGAGGAGTTTATGTTCTTTCCCATAAAGACAGTTTTGGTAAAGAGAACTGGCCACCCCTAAAGTCATGGAATAAACTTAATACGACACCAAGGTATCATATTTGAGAGGAGATTGATGAATTATAGAAAAATCTAAAAAGTGCTAGTGAGTGTTGCTTAGTAACCATCTAAAAGCAGTCTGGTTTGTTGTCATTTTATAAACTGCCAAATAGGTACAGAGAGAAAACAAAGATAAGATAAATTGGGACCTGTAATATGTTCACTCTGATCAGACTGATACTTGTTCTAATCGAAATTAGTAGGTTCATGGCTTCTGATTTTAATGTGAATACATTTTATAGTCTCAGCTCCGATACCTGGAGGCGGGGCTTGTGGGTCTCCCGGTGTCTCATGTCGGGCCACAGGGGGCACTGCAGAGCTCTGTTGCTGTTGGTAGTAGAGCTGAACAGGCAGAGGGATTGCTCGCCGCTTGATCCCGACCAGAAGAATGTGGAGCTGTCCATTTGCCTTGGACTCCTCCTGTCGCCGCATTGTGTGGTTGGGGAACACAGTCCTGTAGTGACAATACAATTGTGGAGTTGAAGTCAAGCTAGTCAAATTAAAACACTTAAAATTGCACGGTGCATTTTAGGTCCTCCCCCTCCCTTACCATTGCAGGGTACATACCGCAGCTCACCTTGCCATCTTACGATCCTTTTCACCCTTTTGCCAATAATGTAGAGTTGCGCTATTCCCATGTATTTCAAAGGGACATTTATGGTGTCAATACACTTGCCATGTTCACAATGTGTTGGAGAATAGGTGTAAAATCACCAGTTGTTGGTGGTAGGCAGCTGCCAAAAAGTATGAATTCAAGGTTTTGATCCTATATGGCCTACTTCCTATTGGGATTATGGCAGGGTCATTTTATAATGTCCCAACTTAATACATTTATTTTTGTTGCATTATTTACGTCACTGCGAGTCTGGGTCCCGGCCCGTGTAAATCCATTTATAGGGCTGTGCCACATTCAATAATTTCCCCAAGACTATTTCCATTACTTTTAACATTTTGATGAACCTTGTTTACTACTTGTATCATTGTGATTTTTGGGATACTGTCATGCAGTAGTCCTTAAGGCTTGAGAGTTTGAAAATGATAAATACATAATAAAATATGGTTGGACCTGAGATTACACCATAATTACTTATTTGGCTTCAATGAAGATGAAGTAATTATTTCCATGTCATCAGATAGTGATGTTGGGCGTTGACTGACCGTAGACATTTGAGGAAGCCTGTGGAGTTGACGATGTTTGTTCGTCCCATTTTGCTGCAGGTGGTTAGGTATTCAGAGTACATGTCTGATCGAGAGACACTGGCTTCTGGACTTGTCTCAAAGTGTGCATTAAGCCTGATGGACCAAAGAAGAAATCAATAAATTTTTAACCTGAAAGATCTGTTCATATGATGTCAAAGCATGACTTGTCAAAGTAAAAAATTACCATTGCAGTGTAAATTTCTCTCCATCGAGTTCAATGATACCTGGGGGAGGTTGGTTGGCTGGAACCCGCACTGCTAAAAAAATCAAAAACACATAAGATCTTGATACAAATTGTTTTTGTTATTTGCAATAAACCAATACCCTGTATTGTGTATAGTTAATTATTCATATGACCTTCACAATTCAAAACATGCATATCTATTAGTCACATTTGGGACGCAAACAGAAGACCATAATATTCGATTATAGAGATTATTCAAATAAAATATAATCTTGCCTTGACATTAAATTTTGTCAACCACTTGCCCATTGGGCAAGTACTATTCATATTTTACTTACCCAAATTCAAAAGTAACTTTCCCGAATAATATATAAAAAAATCCACTCAGCCCAAAAAGTCAAATGACTCAAATAAAACAAGACGCCTGTTGTGTTGTGTGCGGTTTTGTTTTGTTCACAACATTTTACTTTGGTGCACAACCAACATGCATTGTTAATGCAATTTAAAATGTAGGTACCCAGGCTTTAATTTTGTGAGTTTTAGTTGTGCTTTGGTAGGAGACACGGAGGAGAAATACAACAAGCGGGGGGTGCTTCTGTCCGCGCGTCCATGGCTCTGTCCGCGCGTCCATGGCTCTGTCCGCGCGTCCATGGCTCTGTCCCGCGCGTCCATGGCTCTGTCCGCGCGTCCATGGCTCTGTCCGCGCGTCCATGGCTCTGTCCGCGCGTCCATGGCTCTGTCCGCGCGTCCATGGCTCTGTCCGCGCGTCCATGTCCATGGGCTCTGTCCGCGCGTCCATCGTCCATCCGCGCTGTCCATGGCTCTGTCCGCGCGTCCATGGCTCTGTCCGCGCGTCCATGGCTCTGTCCGCGCGTCTATGGCTCTGTCCGCGCGTCCATGGCTCTGTCCGCGCGTCTATGGTTCTGTCCGCGCGTCTATGGTCTACGCTCGGTACCACGTTACGGATGTGCGTACGCTGAGCTGTTGCCAAAGCGGCTGTCGTTACAAAGCGGTCACAGCTGCCCAGGGCTCAAAGCGGAGGATGTGAATCCTGTTCCGAGTCACACATTTTACAGAAATAGCATTTTCAGCAGTAAAAAGTCGGTAATCCAATTAAAATTTTTATCCCTGGTTTATCCTGATGCATTTCATTGGTCCAGAGAATTTAACAAGAGAAGTGGTAAAAAAAGATGAACAGACATGTCCGCTGCCGGCTCTAGATGAAGAAATGCATTCTCGGCCTGAATGGGTTGAAGTAATACATCACTTTAACCCATTCAGGCCCGATTGGGCAACATGCTAGGCCTGCCACTTGTCGGTCCCAAATGTTTAGTTGCCCCGGGGAAGCGGACAACCGTTAACTTAAACCGTCGAGCCCTGACCATATTGTGAGATTAATATTGACATCATAGCATATTTAGAAATAGTTACATCCCTGGGTGTTTAACACCATATAAACTATAATATTGGTAGTTTGAAAATCCATTTAACGTATAGTAGTACTTTGTTGGCTGGAATGCTCTTGAGTGGAAACTATTTAACTGGGAAGAAGCTCAGTATCCAGTTGCCTGGAATTCAGCATTACTCATGTGTTGTATTAAAATGCACAGTCCTCTATTCCAGTGTTTTTCAACCACTGTGCCACGGCACACTAATTTTCGCCTACTTTGTCTAAAAATAAACGCATCCACGTTGGCGAGCGCTGACTTCTTTTGAACTGTGGAGTAACCATGTAATACTTTTTCATATCAGTAGGTGGCAGCAGCAGATAGCTAAGTACTTTGAAATGTAGGAATTGGATGCGACCACTGGATTTAACAGGTAGGGGGGCATTGTGGTGAGAAACATGAAAATTAGACTCGACCAACAAACGTGAAGGAGTGAGGAGCGTTGTTGCTCATGAGAAGTGAAAGTGATGGAGACATTTTTGGAAAGGAATTATGCCATCTCTGAACAGGATTCACATCCTCCACTCTGACCAGGACCATAGACGCGCAGCCACCATAGACGCACGGACAGAACCATAGACGCGCACACAGAACCATAGACGCGCACACAGAACCATAGACGCGCACACAGAACCATAGACGCGCACACAGAACCATAGACGCGCACACAGAACCATAGACGCGCACACAGAACCATTGACGCGCACACAGAACCATTGACGCGCACACAGAACCATTGACGCGCACACAGAACCATAGACGCGCAGACAGAACCATAGACACGCAGACAGAACCATAGACGTGTGGACAGAACCACGGACAGATGCTCAGGACCATCTCTCGCGTCTCTCCAGTGTCTCCTCCCGAAGCACAACCAAAACTCCTGAATATAACGCTCGGATACCCAAATTTTCTCCATGCATTAACAATGCATGTTATTCGTGCACATAAGTAAAATGTTGTGAACAAACTGACCACGCAACAGGGCATTTTTTTAAATCATTATTTTCAGACTTAAAAAGCGACTAAACACCTTTAGCCAGCCTTACTCCGCCCACATGAACATTTGAAAATTTTCTCTTGAAAAGGGCGTTGCGTGGAGGACCAAGGGACAAGAAGGGGGGCTTAAAGTTGGGCGTGGTGTGGGCTGTGATCGACAGCTCACTTGTCACCAGAAAGCCTCATTCCACCCTTGTTTACACACTAAAATAAGTGTAGAGCTACACACCTGAACCTAATCCACAGAATTATCTCAGCAACAGTGGTTGTTGACTCATGTAATTTAATTTTAATCCACTAGATGTCGCCAGAATACTCTAACCTGCTACTGGGGCGTTTGTGAGAGTTGAATGGGTTTATATCACTGGCGCAGACAGACGCACGTCACACATACCAACTGACGTCACACAGTATTACAGAGTCAATGGAGAGGCCGGGACCAAATTCAAATGTAGTACCACCGAAACGTTTGAGAGGGCGCCACACAGACGTTTTTAGGCTCAAAAGTGAGATTTTATCTAATTTGCACTAAAATGTCAAAGAAATGACCAGGATATGTAGAGAGCACTACAATAAACATATTTATGCAGTTTATGAGTAAAAAAAAAGTTGATTTGGTGTTTAGTCGCTCTTAAAGAGCCCTGTGAGTCATTGACTTTTTGGGCTGAGAGTCGATTTTTTTAATGTTTTTTTTCCACACAGTTAGTTCCTCTTTATTCCCAAACTCTTGTTAACTCATTGTATTGACAAATATTAAACAAAGCTTAATGTCAAGGCTAGGCTTTATATTGTGAATATAGGCTACAGAGTATATATTTTTAAATTTTCTCCTGGTGGTGTGCCGTGAGATTTTTTCAATCAAAAAAGTGTGCCTTGGCTCAAAAAAGGTTGAAAAACACTGATCTATTCAAATGAAACACATCCAAGTCAGTCAGTTAGTCTCACCTGGTGCTGGGGCTCCAGGTACAGCTGCTGGGACTTGCTCTACTAACTGGGGGCGCACTTCAGCAGCCTGTTCAGCATTAGCCTGGTGCTCTATCAACTTCACAGCTGTCAGGGCATCCGGGCCAAATGTGTGGAGATCTATAGATACTAGCCGGACTAATAAGTCTGTAAGAAAGAAAAAGCATGCTAAATAAATAATCAGTCATCTCACCTGCCAACTATTTATTCTCAATAGCTGTTACAGTCGAAAAAGAATTAGAACTTAAAAAAAGATCTTAAGATTCCAGTAGAGCTTCAATATGTGAAACAATCTACCAACCACAACTAAACTGAAACAAAATCCATCACCACCACCAAATAAAACTATAAACCCCTTCAAATCAAAGTTTCAAACATGAACTCTAATGAGCAACTCCTCCTGTGACCTGGCCTCAGGAGGCAGACGCAGAAAGCAGAAACGTATTCCTGCATCCAGATGCTAATCTAAATGATCTTCAAAATGTAACTCACTATGCCATCACAAGTTTCCTGCAGTTTTAATCAAAATCCTTACGTTTATTATCCCCTCCCCCATTACATGGTTTTATTATTTTAAGAATCTTGCTAGGTCAGAGTATAAGAATCAATCAAGCAGTCTCTATTAAAACTGGTGAGACTAATTTGTAAAGTTATTTAGCCACTCAGCATATAGCGACAAAAGTAATCAAGTATTTACTCAACTAGGTTGAATATTATTTACATGACTAAACATCCATAGACTGATATTGCTGGTGTTGGTTAGAAATTGATCAAACTAAAATAAATAGAGCACATACCTATGCTATGCTCCACAGAGGAAATCTTGCTGCAGGGAACTTCTCCGAGCTGAGCCAGGAGATAGAGCACCTCCAGAGACGCCATGAGCAGCATAAGGTCCGGCAGCGTGAGCAGAAGCATCACCTCCCGGTATGAGTCCTGGTCCACATACTCGCAGATCAACACGCCATTGTCCTCCACTTTACTCAGGTTTCCCAAGATCTCCATGGCTAAGACCAGATAAAAGAGTCATGAATTTTTGAAGCAATTAAACAAAGCTTTCTGTTCAAAATTGGACAGCCCAGCAGGAAGTTTATACACGCTGTGTAAAACAATACAAAAATATCCATACTCCATGAGCTGGGTGGTTTTATGGCGCCCTCTCTAGGTCACACACTAAATATCAAGAAAATGCTATAAGTATCAAATAAACAAACCTTATCAAGCTCTAAAATTGAAATTTTAAATAAGTAACAATCTTGACTATTTTATGCAAGGACCTGCTAGACCTATATTGAAATTCACACACCAAATTATACCGCAATATATACCGTCTACCGTCTGTGACCCAAATTATACCGCAATATGAATTTTAGCCCATATCGCCCACCCCTAGTAAACATAATAGTTATTCCTGAGCTCAGGTGTCCACAGCTCGTTCAGATTTTCTTTTGCCTGTATTTGTAATCAGGGATGTCCTTGTTTGGCTCATTTGTTTAGGTGAACAGCTGTGTCTTGGTATGTTTTCAGTAGTGCCATACTCTTTCGATAGATTAGATGGTGCTCTGAGATGTTCAAAGCTTTGGAATATCTATATCTCAACCATGCTTTAAACTTCATCCCTGATATATTCCTTGATACTTCATGATGCCGTTTAGTAAAAAAAAATGGAATTTAAAATCAAAACTGAGGGCATCACATTAGCTAGTGGACTAAATAGTTTGAGGCGACCATTCATCAAGCAACTTCTGAATGCAATTTGTTACGCCCAGAGAATATTAAGAAATCAATCTTTATTGTCGTTTCTGGGATATGAATGGATTTCTCACTGCCTAAAATTAAACTGTTGTTGTAGTAAGTAACAGAGTATAAAAAATAATAAAAGAAAAGAAAAGGTGACATCATGTGAACTGTCGTTTCCCCATGTTATACACAGTGGAACTTCTAATCTAGGTGGTTTAAAACACTCACCTCTCATTTTGAGAAACCGGTCTCTTGACATCAAGCATTTGGTTATTGTGTGAAAGATCAAGTGGGTGGTCCTGAAGTCAATGGGATCCAAACACAACTGTAGGAAAAAAACAAAGCATGTTTAATATAATGCCTTTCACTATGATATTACTGAAAAGTCAGTGTTAAATCAAAACATAAATGGCTCTGGGAATTATCTTCAATAATATAGTTACAGCAGTATTTTCTAACTCCACATGTCAAATGTATGTGTGTGGCCCTAAAATTGAGCTGTAATTGTAAAAACCCAGTTTTGCAGCGCAAAGTTATAATTTAAATTAATGTAAAATCAAATAAGGAACTATTAGTTTTCCATTCAAAAGCCATAATATTAAAAAGGAATAAATTACCCAGATTATGGTAAGAAATATAGGCAAGGCAAGCTTTTTTTGTACAGCACAATTCATTCAAAAGGCAACTCAAAGTGCTGAACAAAACAAGATAGCATTCAAATCATAAATAATCTCAGTACATTAAAAAGAAAAATCCCTCAGTTGTATGCACAGCTAAACAGTTTTTAACCTGGTTTTAAACATTATCAGAGAAGAAGCCTTTGTCACATCTTCAGGAAGATTGTTCCCGATTTTGCATGAATCTGAAAAGCAGCCTCCCCATTTTTAGTATAGTCCCTGTGCTCCTCAGAGTCCGGGCTGGTTCATATGGGACTAACATGTCACTAATGTACTTTGGTACATGGAGAGACTTGTACACAAGCAGAGCTGTTTAAAAGTCTATTCTCTGAGCCACAGGAAGCCAGTGCAGAGACCTGAGGACTGGACTAATGTGATCAATATAATAGTAAAAATATCCATCAACTTTTCTATGTTAATGGAGGGAAAGCACGCCGTTATCTTAGTCACAAAATACTGAATATTTGTATTTTAAAGCCACCCTGTGTAATTTTTACAGCTGCTCCATTGCAAAAACGAATAACAAATGTGACCTTTAAGAATATTTACCTCCACCATGTTTTTTGAATTGTACTCATAGGCTTAGAATTTAACTTATAAGTGTCCATAAGAGAGGGGTGCTCTCCATGAATATGCGCCATCTTGGAAAACGGTGGTGGATAAGGGACAAAAAAGATGCGCTTTGTTTCACATGAGCAACTGATATCGTTGCTTTCACCGTGCTTTCACAAGTTGGAAGAAGGAACCATGAAGGACCACAGTTATATAAAAGAACCATGGAGGACCACAATTATGTAAAAGAACGATCCGAGCAACAATCTTTAAAAAAAATTATTATGCAGAAGTCATAGCAGCAAAGTGTAAACATCACAAACCACACGCACAAAGACAGCGTTAACACAACAGGAGGCACATTGTGTAGTTTGTACACAACAGACTCACACGAGAACAACACGTAACTTTTTCACATTGACAATAATGATAACGAAACAGACTCTGCAACAGTCTCAGGATGTTCTGACCCGATCCGAGCGCAGTCCAACTACTGTCACAAGTTTCAACTAAACTTATTCAGGGAAAACGCCTCGAATAAAACACACAGAATCCCCACAAAAAAAATCACCAGAATACTTCAGCAGCGTGAGTGAATGTTCTGTTTCTTACCGTGATGCAGATAGGGCGCTGTGGCTAACGCTAATGCTAACATGAGCTTTTAACCATGTCTGCCGCAGCTGTGTATATCTCTTGCTTCTTTGATCGTCGTTGTTTTAAGCTCCCGCAGACGTTAATCCTCCATGCGTCTCTTCTCTTCACACCACGTTTGTAAAACTATATATTATAATAGATCCATGGTAAAACTCAGTGCAGTGCAGCCTCTGAACGCGGTCTTGTTTTCAAGTTGTCTCCACACGATTGTCAAGTGCCTGAGACGTTTGGAGAGATCCGGTCATTTATCAAACTAAAGTATTCTTTCCTTGGCAGTCTGGTGAATGACAGAGTTGAGGAGCTCTGTCTTTGACAGTGCTCCTCAACTGAAAGGCTTCCGTACTTTAATAGACTGCAATATAAGATCTCAACGCTAGATGGCACTAAATATTACACAGTGTACCTTTAAAAACATTTTGCAACTTTAACTGTTGTTTACAGTTTAGTTTTTGTGTTAATTTGTGTGTTTATCTCTTTAAGAGAAAGATTCCTGCGCCAGATTGGATGACTGAGAGGAAGCTTGAGTTTAACTTGAGGAAAACAGACGACAAATGATATTCTGTAGTCTGGCCTTAGCCATCCGTATACTCCGGTCAATCATAATTTCCCTGCATGTAACGTCTGGGTCTGGTCCCTGTGTTTGCGTTTACATCGGTTGAAATCCATCCGACCAATGCGGGAGGCGAGTGTTGTAGTCAGATTTGGGTGACTACAAGGGCAGCTTGTAGTTTCGGAATGGCGAAGAATGCGAAAGTAAAGTATTCCAGTCTGGTTCTATCAAGAGATTTAAGCCGGAGCAAGAGGAATGTTTAAGCAAATGTAATCGCTGGCAAATATTGTGGCGCTACTCCCCACGGGCTCCATTAGCGGCAAAGCAGATGGCTATGCTAAATTACATACGTCGCGGTAAACTCAGATCCAATCGTTTCAATCTACAAAAGGAGTTAACCCCTCCTACCTGTTAACGGGGCTCAATGGAGCACCTACAGACCTTAGCACGAAATGTAATTTGTACTATGGTGTGATACAACCAGGCAATATATTCTGCAGTTATTGAATCAAATGATCTCATAGGAAACTTTGCATAACTTGAGGAATGTACCATTAGGGAGGGAAGCATGATTGTTTGAAGACTCCAAGTTTATCAACAGGAATGTGACTGATTTGAAGGATTCCTTTAAAAGTAGAGGTACTGTAGATGTAAAGATACGTCACACAATGTGGTGCAGAAAATAATTCCATAAACCTCTGCCCTGTGCCTTTAAATGCTACATATATTTAGCTCTACTTAAACAATTTAAATTTCCACAGGGTTTTAATATGTGTCTGGTGTGTTCTAGAAAGCAGACTGAGGTGACACATTGCACCATCTGGCAGCAGAGACAGTTTTGTTAATCAATGTATCTACAGCTCCAGCGCGTCGAGGCAGACTTTCCAAAGCAGAATTACTTCAAATTGAGTCTTTTAACTCATCAATAGATGCCCTCTGGTTGACATGCATGTAATTTAGATGATTAAAAATAAAATGAGCATCTGCCCGATCACTGGCACCCACATTATCAATGTGTGTAGAATTGATCAACGCAATACTAGAAGATGAGTAGATTTAACTAATGCCAAAGCACCTGTATCATAGATACATATGACTCGAGTTGAACGGCAATAAATGTGTATGTGTGTTTTTTTCTATTTTACGCATTATACTCAACTCAACCAGATATATAGAGCACGTGATTTGGTTACCTCAGTGATCCAGCAAACACTAAATTTTCTTCTTTTACAAAACTGCTTTTCTCACCTCTGCAGCGATGTTGCCAAGTGTGTCCATCCCAAGCTGTCGAAGCGAGATGAGGCTGCAGTGTGCGCAGAGAAGCAGGAAGCGCAGGCATGTCCGGTTGGCCGCCAGAAGCTTCACGTTGGCCTCTTCGAAAGACAGGTTTCGAAGGATCACGGCTACCTGCAGCACCCTCTGGGACTCCATGTCACTGATGCCCTGGGCCCGCGGCGGGTGGAAAAGCCACCGATTGCTACCTTCTGACAGACACAAAGGCAGAAATCAGATGTTGTCATAGTAACAAAAAAACAACTTTATCTTTGAATGAAGGAATTGCTTCATACAAATTTTGATACCCTAGAGCCCAGACTGTATTCACTTCAGATACATTTTTCCTGGTGATCAGTGAGCTGTGATCTAACTTGACTTAAAGTGATTGTCTGGAGTTAGTAAGAAAAAAAGAGAGGTACAGAATTTGAAAAAAAAAAAAAACGATGCAAGCTCCCTCCCCCTTCCTTTCTGATTGGTCTATGCCTACGTTTCAGTAACACATTAAAATGTTAATCTGAGAACACATTATACATATACATTATTAATACACATGCACGGAGGTTTTCAGAATTATTTGTTAACGTTTTCATGACAAAAATGATGTTTTAATGCACGAAAACAGTGATCGAGGTAAACCCGGAAGTAGCTATCAACGTTGATTGAACATTATAGGACACATCTGCAGAGGATATGATTATGGATATAGGTTCAGTTTATACATAAGTACCTCAGCACGGATGTTCAAAATTCTTTGTTTAGTTTTCATGACGTTGGTTAACATGGACGGCACGTGGATTCTCAGCTAGAGCTAAGAGAAGGGAAGGCAGGACTTACCCGTACTATTATATTAACATTTAAGGCCAGGAGGTCAATTTAATACAGTTCTTAAAATGTGTAATTAATTTAAAGTTCCAGACTTTCACTTTAAACTATAAAGAAACAGCATAATGACAAGTCTCTCTGGGCCCACAATTATCAATGGAGAAGTGTTGCGCGGATAGTGCTGATGTCCCCATTCACTACAATTCAATGAAACTAATTCTTAACGTACTTGACACCCACGAATAGCAAACACACTTGTAGCCAACCTGGTCGTATTAGGCATACCCGAAAAATGGTGCGGGTAAAACACTGCACTGATGAAATTATTCAATATCAAGTCCACATTCACACAGCATACATTCCACCACTCAACGAACACTGAATGCAAATTCATAATTAATAATTGTCAAAAACGGCACAGAGTACCAAAGACAATTCTTTGAACATTGGCCTTTGAAGCAGCAGCCTTCCATAGCTGTCAGTAACATCTACTTCAAGCTTTAACATAAAGAAATCTTCCGAAAACAAAAAGAATCACTGAATAGTGTGTTTACAGCTATACCAATTTGATCAGATTGCAATGGTTGACATGTAGGATGTGAAGTGATTTACCTGGTGCTTGACAAGTCCTGTCCCAGAGGAGCTCTCTGACTTCAATGTCTTCAACAACCTCCTTCCAGAACTTCAAGGAACAGAATAATAATGCATTGGTTTGGACACTCAAAAGATGCTTCACGCCGCACTATTCATTCACTCTGTACACACTAGTACGCAAACGTCAGTTTGAAACAAATGAATGAACACATGAAAGTTCTTTTTACGGGCCTCAAAACCCTGTTAAATTATTTTTAACTCGCAGGAAACTTGCACGAGTTTCATAGCATGTCACACAACATTCACCCTCAACAAAATCTCAATTTTAAAATTTGGCACCTGAAACCTCCCAGCATCTTACTTCCAATGTGGCCCCTGGTTTTCCCGAAGGTCTCCCATAATAATACTAACCAAATATCACCCTGCTTAGGCCTAAGGCATTTACAGGGGTCAGGCAATCACATGACATGCAGGAATGGCCACAATCAAAATAGACGGTCAAAATATAAAAAGAAGTTGACCAAATGGTTTGTGGCAATTAAAAGACATTTTTCAATACTACAGAAGTTTGCAGGAGCAGATTTACCCTGATAAAGTCCCGGGAGGTTTTTTCTTTCCAGTCGGTCCCAAAAACACCCGAAAAACTGCCGAGTGCTGCAAACACAGACAAGAGTTTAGAAGACACTAAACAAAAATCACTATAACTTAGCAGTCTGCACACAATTAAAAGCAGTAACCTCAAAGTTTTAGTAAGAAAAATCTGTATTTATTATATGGATAAACATGGATGGTAAATAAGGAAAGGATCTCAAGTTTTTTTTTTCACCAAAAAAAACGAGAAAACTTCTTTCAACTCAGCGACCGGCACTGGTCTGTCAAAACAACTGCCACCTACTCTTTGTTATCAAAATGATCTGCATTTAACGAACTGTGTGTAGACTGCACTGAGCAATTATCATTCGTTCACTTCCTCACGATGTACAGGGGGAAGTTTCACAAGATAAGTGTGTGCACTGCTGTTGAGAGTGTGGAAACAACAAATGCATTAATTTGTACAGCGACAATAGAGACTGGAATGTTAGCTCAATTTAAGTATAATATCCCTGCAATTGTACAATCAGCAGTTGTCCATTCATCATCATGAAGTTATGGGGCTCGTTATCTAGGGCTGGGGAATAAATCAAATTAGATGAATTTCCCTTTTTGAAAATCAAAGATATGAAAAATGTCACAATGGCCCCGCTTCTCTGGGCCTCTGAAGCTTCTATGAGCAAAGTGTGTTTTCAGTAAAGACACAACATTGATTATAGCTCAAATGTCAGCGTCTTAAACATCAGCAGTGCAAATCTATTTAAAGTCACAAAATATTATGGTCAAAACCAGTTCAATTTTAATCTGTGTGCCCAGCTAAAACATCTTCAACCAAGTGCCCAGTGCAAACCCAACTGTGAGTAGAGATTTGGTCAATGTATCACAAGCTGATCCCCCATCAATAAGTGTTTTTCCGACATATTGCACTGAACCTACAGTCATCGAAGACTCCAGTGTGGGCGAGTAGAAGCGTGACCAGTTTGGGGTCCTTGTCCAGCTGCATGGCATGCTTGCTCTCATTAGACAGCAGAGTGCAAACGTTGACCGCAAAGTCCACTTCATTTGGGAGCCCGGACAGCAGGGACAACACCAGTTTGTTGTAGTCGCATGGAGGAACGAAGTCTGTGGACAGGCCGTAGCTTTGGCGCATATAGTCTGGAAAGATGGAGAAAAATGCAGTATAAGGGGTGAAGAGGAATTCTCAGCAAAGATAATATTCAGATGTTTAAAAAAAATGTTCTTCGGTAAACTCTGGGCCTAATTCAGATGTGATTTCTTAAATTCTTAAATCTAAAATAACTGTCTATTACATGTGCATTATATAGCTTATTGATGTTGAGGGAGCAATAGATTTATTGGTGTGCCAATTAAATGGCCAATTTTTAAATCCCGCATGGCGGTAATCAGAAAACAATTCAATTTATTTTTAGTAAGTTGGCTCTTGCCACTCAGCCACACACTTAATGATGTCACACTCTACAAGTATAGACATGTTATACCTCTATTCCAAACTCTCGTTTTGCTGAAAAAAATCTAAGGAAAAATCTGGCAAAAGAGAATGCTAACTCTGAGCATTGTAAAGATTAGAACTTCTAGAATTCAATATCTCGATTTGGCCTCGCAAAAGAAACTGGGTTAGCTCTTAGCATTGTTTGTTAGCATCTTAAAATGGACAAAATAATAAATGATCAAAATATTACAGCCCACCAATAAAATTGAAATAAAACTTATATTTTAACACTACCTGATACGACGTGTTGCTGGTAATTATAGGAGCTTGGGATTGCACCGAGTGGAAGAGAAGCTTTGGGATTCCCAGGCTGCGCTTCATCATCATCTTCACCAAAATGATGGACTTTTTCATACTTTTCCAAATACCTGTAGGACAAACATGGTGAGTTTAGTTATGCGCAAACATCAAATTACCTTGATGAGGGAAAAAAAGTGTGTAAGTGAAATATATATATATATATATATTATATAAATATAAAATACTAGATTGTGCTCTCTGAAGAAATACTGGATTGACCTTAACATCGGTTCAATCCGGACAACACCCACACAGGGGTAATGATTACAATTCTCTCAAGATTATTATTTCACTCCACACTCTTTACAGAAGAGAGACCCTTCCGATAACTACCATTGCACACAAATGACAAACAACTGAACAACCTAACAAGACATAAGGGAAAAACAAGCCATAGTTTGAAAAGTACACAACATGGTGAACACGCATTACCTTCTCTTGACCAACCACAACGAAAACGCTACATAAGTCACTCATAATAAATGTTACTATTGTCACTCTCACTAGAGAAGGCAAGCCCCGAGTAGTGAGTCATTCAAAGCCAAAGTCTGAATGAAGAGCCACAGACGAAGGGGTAATCCCCACTCTGCTGCTGCTGCTGTTGCTTGTGTCACTCTCCAAACCCTGGACTAAAAATACACAAACCTGCTGCGTGTGCATGAGAGAGAGGGCGGGAGGGCCACAGACTAAGGTTGACAGATGCGGAGGAAAGGAGTGGAGGGCTTTAGAAGAAGTCAAATCCAATAACGTCATCAAAATGCTAAATGTCACATCCGTTTTCTATACAGCCTGTTGTCATTCTGCCATTTCAGACACAACTGTAGTTTGATTAATGATATTACTATGTCCAGCTCCAAATTACAACATTATGTTTTATTGATGCACTGTGCCACTGATGCGGTGAAGGAAGAGGTTGGTCACTTTTCCAATAAATGTTTACTAAATTTTCTTTTTTCAAGATAATAACAGTGAATAAATGGAGATACAAGTATTATGCAAATCGTTAATATTGACACTAAACACTGAAAAAAAACAACCATGTCTACTTCTGTGATCCTACCAATAGCATACTTAGCATACATATAAAATAAGCCAAAAGAATTGCCAAGAATTGCCTGGAGTACTTACTTTTTTGTTGACGTAAATCCATTTTGTTTGTCCTAACAGAATAGTAAAGGCTAACGAGTCTCACTAAATACTTATCTTCAGAAAACTTTTTATCTGTTACATACTGAGAGCTGATTGGTTGAGTGAGGGTGATTCTATATTTTTCGCTGAAAAAGCTGGTCTCTGATGTGACAGAGGGCAAATAAAACATGCGTGGGAAAACTAGTGATAGAACCAAAAGTTTTGAAAGCGCAGAACTACTGTAGTTTGTAGTTTCAAAGTTGGGTACTCCAGTTTTAAGACTAGTTATAGGAACATTAGCTCATCGGATCACAACACGTGTAGTTTGAGTGAAGATAAACCACTGTACAGCTGAAATTCCCAATAAAAATACAACTTGGATCACCAGCCTTTTGAGACAGCTCTCGTGCACACAACACAAGCCAACGCAAATCGCTGGTATCCCCCGTCCCATATGCTGCAACAAGTGCACACAGAGCAGAAGAGAAATAGACAGGAGGTGAGAGAGTGGGAGGAGGGGAACACACACAGCTGCAAACGGCCAAACCCGTGACACGTGTGGAGCTCAGATACACAAAAGACTCTCAGACAGGTCCCAGGGAAGAATGAGCAGAGATATACTTGTATGAGATTAGTGTCATCAGTAGCAACTGACAAATTACAATATACTTATTTTTCATTATATATTTTGAAATTGGCATCTCCCCAGTTAATCTTTGGCCATAAGTGAGCTTAAATAATGGGATTGTTTTGAGGAACAGGGCTCATTCATACAGGACATACAATTTGAATGTGTCAATTAAACAAAGATTATTCTAACCTATCTATTTGCTCAATGAACACAACATATTGAACAAAACCACAAATTATCTTATTTCAATAAGTGCCACAGTACCATTCAAATAAATAAAAGCAACATTGTCAAATACAGGTTAGTTAGGTTAATAGTCACTAGTGTATTGTCCTCCTGGCCAATCAGTCCCTGTGGATCTACATTGCCAGACTGTGGGAGATCATTGCCCCCTGCTGGACGAGCACGAGCAAAGGGAAGTCCTCTCACTGCTCTCAAACAAAGCAGAACAAGAGTCAAAGAGTTTTGAACAGAGCCAGAAGCCCACCACCAACAAAACTTTAAATCACAAGGACGAAGCCATTGTGTGAACTAAAGCCAGCGTGATGTTGTAATAATACTGTAAATAAATAGTTTTATTAGCCAGGAAGAAACCTGTCAACGAGGATGGTTTCATTCATGGGTCTCTCCTCAGCCTTCGGATAACAAGAAATGTCAAAAGCCTTATCACTGTACAAATGTAAGGCCATATGTATGGCTTCTTAACTGACTAAGAGCTGCTAAATAATCAGCATACAGGGTTCTAATCTCCAGCATTAGCCGTTTTTTCTCAATCATGATAACGACAAAAAAGTGTAGTCAGCCCATGACCCAAAACTGACCCATTGAAAATATAGAATTACCCAATACTCCTTTCTGCGCCAGGAACTTTTACTCATTACTTAACACACAGAGAGGGAAAGGTCAGAAGAATGTCATGTACTATTCATTCATACAACACTTGCTCTCCACTGGGCAACAGAATGTTGCTGGAATAATGAAGATTCACTTGTGCAATTAAGTGTTAATATGCTGTTATAAAATATTTCCTCCAATACCTGTCGCAATATTATTATTATTATTATTATGATTATGTTTTAATAATATGTTTTAATTTGTTTGATCTAAAAAAACAGAATTTATTAGTCACTTCTACTGCTGCATACTTTAGAATGCACACTCTGATATTACGAAGTAATTAACACACCAGGATCACCGTTACAAGATGAAAGGCCTGTTGCTTGAAGCTGGTTTAGTTTGATGCAAGTTCAGGTTCAACTTAGTCCGGAGCAGGGTAAATTAAGGTTCAAAGGAGGAGAAACCAGAGTGTTCCAATCATGGGCATTGAATCTGTTGCCAACATAAGATGCATCTTCGCGTTTTGTAAATGAAAGGATTAATCCATGGCACTCCCATTTCAAGGCGTCTGATTAACACAAGCACAAAAATATGTAAAGCGCATGAAAGTGTATTATTAGTGATCGGCATGATCCACTTTCATTTCCAGACGACCACCTTTATGAGAGGTTTTCCACTGTTGACCTCATCAGTCATCTCTCCATTATTAAAGAACACATCCTCACCAGCTTTGGAAGTGTGTCACTTAAGGTCCATTTTGCACTACATTTGTCTACTTCAATTTTATTCCTTTATTCATTCTTTGAGTTTATGTCGCTTGAATTGTCGCTAAGTCATATGACCATACAAACGCAAGGACACAGCATTCGCACAATCTGAACTTTCTGCCCGCCCTTTGGCTTCCAGTACAATTCTGTATTACTCCTGCGAGCAGAATGTTTTATCCATGATTGATTGGTTGTTCATCATTCCAATTCAGCTTTTATATGAATGAGCACAGTAATGGTTTGAACCTGGGTTAACGGTCACATTTGAGACACATTTGATCAAGCCACAGGTTAACCTGAAGTTACTCTGGATTTCACCCCGTTTGTTCATATTCAACTTGAAACAACTCAGTTTTCCAACACCACCGCTAGCAACAAGCATTAAGACTCATAACCATTACCTTTTTCATTTTCTTAGCCCTAAACCTAGTCCTAGCCCTTATCATAGTGAAACCTAGCTCTAACCCTACTCTATCCCAGTTCCAATGGAACACTGGTCCCGGGAATCTTAAGACCCGACTCTACTCTTCTTGACTCTCCCCTGTTTGCGGCCATTTCCACCGGCTCGCTTTAGCCGCTACACAGTACGTTTTTAGTAACGGCCCTGGTACAACCCGGGCCGAGTAGATACCAAAACAATCTGACGTCAGCGAACGTCAATTCTGATTGGCCAGAAGCACTGTCAATCACTCTTCAGCTGGTGCGTCAGCTGAAGACGACACGTTTCCTCAAGTTTCCATCTGAAAATTATATAGACATCCGTACGGAAAACAATTCCTTGGTCGCTGGATTGAGGAGACGACACCATAAGCTCGATGGTTTCATTAAAATGAGAAAGTGTTTGCGGAGGAAGCACTAAGGATGGAGGAGAATGGATATCCACAGACATCAAAGAGCAGAGAAAATTTAAGAAGCTTAAAAGTGACTACCTTTAAATGAAAGATCACAATAGAACCGAAAATGTTGGAGGTGGTTTGACCAAATGGATTATATTTACGGACATCAGCTAAAACCAGCTAACATGCTACCACCATCTACACCAGGGAAGCCTCACTCTGCTTTGTGCCAGCTCCAGATGTTGAGTGTGATAAATGGTGAGTGTCTTCAATCAAATGCAAAAGTATCTGGTCTTATACTGAATGTGTGTCTGTGGTTCTAAAGTCTTAAAACAGCTTCAGTGGTATTGATGTTATGTGTCATATTGAACTATGTATAGCTATGTCTTTTACTATACGTATTTAGAGATTGAATAATGTCGTTTTGTTACCTGCTGAATGCTAGTTTGAAACTTGAAAACGGTTGGCTAGAGCTTGAAAGCACTCGGGTATATGGAACTCGGGTTTTGGGTGGCGTCACGAAGCTCATGCTCGTGTCCTCTCCTCAGAGTGATTAATCAGAATTGACGCTCGCGGACGTCAGATTGTTTTGGTATCGACTCGGCCTCGCTAAAACCAGGGCCAAGCCGTTACTAAAAAAGTACCGGGTAGCGGCTAAAGCGAGCCGGTGGAGACGCCTGCAAACCAAGTCGAGTCGAGCTCGTGGAAAAGGCCCTTAGTTACTTTTTGATAAACACATTTCCTCATGTATATCCAAATGAAAACAGAATACAATTTAAATAGAATACATTATGACTGTGGTAACATTGCAATCTTTCAATATAAATTAATAAATTACCAGTTTTCAAAAGTGTGCACACACTTTTGAA